ACAAATTAAATTGGTGGTATTTTTGTAAAAAAAAACTGAATGAACTTGAAATAACTGTTTTAATTTAATACTAGTTGTCATTTGTAAGCTATAAAAATTAGTTTTGTTAGTTTATACAAATTTATTTAATAGAAAATAGCCACAAAATTGCAATTTATGAATTTTACCGACTTTTTATTTTAAAAAAATGGCTTAAGAAGCAGCTGCGATTTAAAGAGTTGGTGTTTTGTGTGCATGTGACCCCACCAAATAATAACCCACAATCAGTTTTTTTAGGACATTCTAAAAACCCTAAATTGTGTGGGTGGGACCACACCAAATAATATCTTACAATCAGTTTTTGAAAAACCTATACCCTATTCAAGGACGGTGTGACTTCACGGTGGAGTCTCCACCCGAAATTTTCTTTCAGTTAAATCTAGTTTACTGCCGACAAAATCAAAAGTTCAGTACAAACTTGCATATAAACTTTTCAAATAGTTATTGGCGTAAACTATTTATTACTTATTATTTTTGTTAAGATAATAAAATAATTTCCACAATATTATTTTACAAGAAGGGGACTTTATTAACGATTGTATAACATTTGACAACTTTCAACTAACTTAAAACTAACTTTAGGTCGTGACTAAAATTACATAAAGCCACAACTTGTCAATGTGTATCAAACTGATAGATATTTGTATCGGAATGTATAGTGTTTCTATAGGGTGTATCAATATGTATTGGAACCATAGTTGGGATTTATGGTTGTTCTATAGAGATATCCACTCTTGATTTATTTGCTATTGGTTTCAATGGGGAAAATACACATAAATGTAGAAATTAGTTTTTCCCCCATAGGACCCCATAGGTTTTAATAAAATTTTGTCAAATGTTTTATGGTTGCTCTATAGGGGGATCCCCATTTATCCTTCATTGAGTTATTTGCTATTGGTCTCAATAGGGAAAATGTAAAAGTTATGGTGTGCCTATGGGTAATTTCCTATAAATTTTCTATCGGGCCGTATCCGGAAAAAAAACCATGGACAAATGCACACTTTATGGGGTATTTTAAGCAGGGATTTAAAAGATCACTTAGTGTCTTGAAAACATCTACTATAATGGGCATTTTAAAGGTGGGAGTAGAAAAAATAATTCAAATAACAGCGACATATTTAGATATTTAGATTTTTTATGATTGTTAAAATATAAATATAGATCATCTTTATATTTTGTCTTGACACTTTTTTAAAACGTATCTATTACTCACCTTAATTTATCACAATAATTTGTACTGGTTATTAGATATATTTTTACCACTATGCAGATAATTTCATTAAGATAACTTAAGATTGTAATTTTCTCAGTCAAACATGCCTATGATTACTAATTTATTAAAAATAAACACATTTAAATAAATTAAAATAATTATATATATATATATATTTAAACTGACATAGTAGGCCTTGTATTTTGTATTAATATGGCGTCTTTTGCTCCAAAAATACAGTTTATCAAGATCTACACTTTAAAACAAATCCGGTTAAAATCGCACAATAAATAAAGATTTTACAGGGGTGAGTCGCAAACAAATGGGTCACACTGTATATGTATATATATATATTAATATTAATTAATATAATACGCTGTAGAGGGGTTATTTTAAATAAAAAAAACTAAAAACATTTTCCCGACAAGTAGTTTTCAAGTTAAAGCATTTAAGTTTAAAAACCTCGGCAACACATGCATTTTTTTAAATTTGGTATTTCGTCACGCACGATCCAGACCCCCCTTCCGCCATGTCACATTTTGTCACAAACGGTAAACCGAGCGGTAAACCGCCTCCCACCTTAACGTGTGACGGCCCCATATCAAATTGAAAACAAAATACATTAAAGAACCTATTACATTTTAATTAATTTATTTTTATCGGTATAAGGGGTTGGGTGCAGTAGGAGGTGTATAAAAAAAAGATATACATAATACCATTATTTCACTATATAAGGTTTATTTTTTACCGAGCATGTGGACTGTCGAATGGACATCAGGGACATGCGCTTTGCGGCAACTTAAAAACTCACATGAAAAAGTCGCTTTTCAACACTAGGAAAACAAATAAATATTTTGTATTTAGTTGATAGATTAATATCTATGGATAGGGCAGGAAGACGTAAGTCGTTAGCCATTTGGATTTTCCAATTATGTTTATTATTATTATTAAAATGGATTTTAAAATCTTTTGACTTGAATCCAAATATGTCAGGTTTATGATGATTTAAGAACCTAGATCAATATTTCATGATTTTTAAACAAATCAATAGTATATTCTATCTTCTACCATAATGCCCAGGTAGCAGAGTAACGTGAATAAAACGTCATATTTTGGTCAAAATTTACGTCATTCTTACCAAAAATTAACGTCGATGTGACGAAATTATGACGTGAATATGTTACAGCCCACAGACGTCATTTCAGGACGTCGATAGACGAAATTGTTTTAATGACGTGTTTTCACAACGTCACTGAACGTCATAATATTACCAATTTAAGACCTCTTTCAAAAAGGGAAACTGCATGCAAGATTTACATATTAAAAATACAATAAATTCATACATTTAAATGTATGTATTTGTTATATCTTGGATACGCAAATCTGGCATACAGTATTCCCATCTGACAGAGGTGTAAGAGTCTTACAGTAAGACGTCAAACGTATACTAATATCAATTGAAATTGAAAAAAATTATTAATAAAAAACATATTTTTTGTTTATAACATTTATTATAAAATTTTAAAAAAATTAACAATTACTGTTTAAAATTAAAACTTTTTCTTATGTTATAAAAATTTAAACATCTAATTTCAAAAAAAATAACACTTAATTAAGTTTAAAAATTATTTAAACTTATCGTTTATCTATTTTAATTTGTAAACATAATGAGATACATTCCCAGGCAACACAGTGACGTGAATATCACGTTTAATTTACGTCTACGGTGACGTCGAAGTCACCAACTTAGACACGTCTTATCCTCGTAAAATTGACGACAATATGTCACAGCGATTTCACGTGTAAAATCACGTAATATTACGTAATTATTTACGTAATTTGACGTAAATAATCACGTAATATTTCTTGAATAATATATGATTAGGTCATACACTGATAAAAATAATTACCGATACTGATATCAAATATTTCAATGCGAAATGTGATTTTGTCAAAATTAAAAAAACAAAAAATTTTAGTTGTACTTTTAAATTTTAAGAAATAAATAGGTAAACCCTACTATATATAGTATATATATACTACTATAGTAGATATATATTTAGTAAATAATTAATAATCAAAATAAATGTATGTAAAAAAGTAGAATATCAAAAAAAAAATTGTTAGTTAATCTTTGCAGAAACACATACATATGTCTGGCATTAAAATATCGGATATAAGAATAAATAATTATTTTTACTAGTGCATAAAGGGCTTTTGGTTTAATGATTATTAATTATAATTAATAAAACATGTTTTAAGTTGCTCAAAACATTTATTATAAAATCAAACACATTAAATTTTAAGACAGATGACAGGTCAATATTTTAGGAGCTTATGTAGGTACTTCATTTAGGTGTTATAACTTCGTTACGGAATATACTGAGTAATTAAAACATTAATAAACAAACAAAAATTGACCTACCTGACACAGCCAAAGTATTATCAGTATAAATGGTTTGTTCTATGTATAAATGCCACAGATTATAAAAGTTGGACGCTTGAATCAACCATATTGTTTTTTATGAATAAACGTTCCCTCGCTTTGTAAGTAGTGTCAAAGAGAAACAGGGTTGCCAGGTGTAAAAATTAATATTATCGAAGAGGGTTTACAAAATGATCAAATTTACAGAAAATTATATAAAATTATCAAAACAAAAATTGTATAAAAACAAGCAAAACTACGCGGCGGATTAAATTATATTACAATTATTGATTATTATTTAAATTTTACTATTTTAAAAAAGAAAATTATAAAGCATCTGGAAACACTGTAGATAAATAATTTTACTAAAATTAAAATTATGATTGTCAACTGCAGTAACATATGTTAATTTCTTATTTTGTGATGAAATGATAAAAGATTTAAAAATCGCGAATTTGTTTTAAAAAATCCATTGATCAATTAATTATTAATCTATCTTAATTAGTTTAAAACCAAATAATGTTTAAAATTATTTTAATAAAATATTGCACGTTGATTCTCCGTCGAAATAACGTAAATTAAATAAAAATAATAATTTTTGTTTTTAAAAATATTCCAAAACTTTAAGTCGGCCAATTAAAACGGGCCAACTGTTTCTTATTAATTATCACTATATTTTCGTATTTTCTTAAAAATTTCGTCATCTGTTCACGTGATAATGACGTCATTTATTGGTTATCATCGACCTAAGTTAATAATTGGTCGTGTTTTGGTGAATTTTGAGACGTCGAAAAATGGTTGAAATGTAACTTCGACCAAATTCGACCCAATTCGTCGACGTTTCTACGTGATTTCTACGACCCTGTGTTGCCTGGGATTAGCGTTAAACATCGATAAACTAATATTTTTTTACCCTATTTTATTCGTTTTATCTCCGCCTATACTTTCGGAGAAAGCATCTGTCATTGACAAACTGTAATCTACATAATCTACTACTTTTTCCAAGCGTACAATAATTTTCATATTATAGCACATATAAGTCTACATAGAAAGAACTTAAATTAATACTAGTTCAAAAGTCAAATTATTATAAAACTCCCTACTAAAATGAAGACAAAATGTCGTTATGTCAGTTGAACCTAATCTAGGTAATTAATATGCTTGAAAAAAAAGTATATAAAAACTGGTGGCGAAAGTTTATAATATATGCTTTCTCCGCCTGGTCTATAATATACCTACTATTTTATTCAGTTAATAATGAGAGAATTTGGCGGACTTGTATTTAAAAGAACAAGAAACTAAAGTCATTTTATTTATTTATAGATTTTACCAAGATGGTGATTCAGAGGGTGTGCCCTCAACTGCCATAAGAGAAATATGTTTGCTCAAAGGATTAAGACACTCATCGATTGTAGAATTACTCGACGTTATGTATACCACAGACAAATTATTTCTTGTTTTTGAATACTTAGATTTGGATTTAAAAAGGTACATTGACTACACAAAAAAACCTATAGAAAAAGATCTTGTTAAGGTAAAACCTAATCATTTTAATTAAATTTTGAAAAATCATATAAAACAATATTTTGTAGAGTTATATGAAACAATTAATGGAAGCCATGGCTTACTTACATTCCCATCGCATTTTACACAGAGATTTAAAACCACAAAATTTATTAGTTGACAAAGAGGGGCACGTAAAATTGGCTGATTTTGGTTTATCGCGATCATTTTCTCTACCTACAAGGACATACACACATGAAGTAGTTACTATGTGGTATAGAGCCCCAGAATTGCTCCTGGGGGCCAAGATGTACTGCACTGGTATCGATATTTGGAGTTTGGGATGCATTATGGTTGAAATTGTAGTATTTTAACTTTGGGTTTTATTATTTTTCTCATTGAATTAATTTTAGTTGAATAAAAAAGCTATTTTTCCTGGTGATTCAGAAATTGATCAACTTTACAAGATATTTAAAATACTTGGCACACCAACTGAAGAAATGTGGGAAGGAGTTTCACTTTTTCCAGATTTTAAACCAACTTTTCCATCATGGCCTGCACAAAAGCTAAAAGATTTTGTTAAATTTCATGATGAAGAAGAGGAAGAATTTTTAAAGGTAAATAATATTTTCCTGGTAATTACTACAAAAGATTAATATTATTTTTAAATTACAAAGTGTGTTAGGGAAAATAATTAATTTTTAAATACTATAATTCTGAAAATCCTTATTATAATAATAACGCCTATTTAGCAAAAAGCTATTACAGTTTCTTACAAAAAAATAATGCAATATAGTTTACTTTTTTTGTTTCACATATGTATATGTATATTTATATATTAAAAGTAATTTAGTAATACAAAACAATGGTGAATATGTTACGGCTAATGTGCAAACTTGGATAGTTTATAAACTAGCTGGATAGTTTATAAACTAGCCAAACTGTCAGCTATTTTAATTGAAAATGTATTTTCAACTAAATTAGCGGCTAGTTTACAAAATAACCAAGGATCTTGGCTAATTTACTTGAAATTATTAGGAAAACTAAAATAGCTGGATAGTTTGTATTAGTGATGGGCGTTCCGGGTCACTCTTTTGAACCGGATCACTGGATCTGGATCATATAAGTGAACCGGTTCAGCGAACCGGTTCAAAAGAACCGTTTAAATCTCAGATTAATTAAAAATAACACTTAATGAAATCATTGAAACTTTAAAAATATATTTTAATGGACATTGACATAAGTTAAATCATCTCATATTTCTGTGAGTTTGTAAAAATTACCAAAAGTATAAATTTTCCTAACGTAGTAACGCGACACAGAACGCAAGAAGTTTGGTTCCGAACGATCCGACCGGCATAGGCACTAGAGAGCTGCATGATACAACAGTCATGATGGAGCCGCGCCTAGAGAATCGAGATGTTTCGGTCAGATCTGGATCACAGAAAACAAAATGTACTGCGAGCGCGAGTCGTTCTTAGCTCCAGGGAGCAGGTTCAGATCTTACCAACATATCTCTCGCGACCGGCTCCGGCTCACTGCAGTGAATCGGAGCTTAGAACGGCTTGCGCGCGGCCGCTAGTCAAACGCAGTTCTCTGCTTTGTAATTTCGGACCCGCGAGCCGGTTAGTTTAATTTTCGTGAACCGGTTCACGTAGATCACTTATAAGACCCGGTTCACTGAGCCGGTTCAGATCTGACCGACACATCTCTAGTCAATGGGGCGGGGTCGGTAGGGTTGTGTTGTTGAGTTTTCTAACAAGGAAGCGTTAAAATTTTGCCTATGATTCATTTTAAAAACGTTAAAATGCAAAAAACAAATCCGGTTAAGCCGGCAAAACGAAAAACAATGCCGTAACCTCACTTTTTTAATAAATTAGCCAGAGAATTGGTTGGTTAGTTTACAAACTAGCTAAAGCTTGGCTATTTTGTGTTACTAGAAATTTTGGTTTTCATATTAGCCAAACTGAATTGGATAGTATACGAACTATCCAGCTATTTTAGTTTCCCCAATAATTTCAAGTAAATTAGCCAAGTTCCTTGGTTATTTTGTAAACTAGCCGCTAATTTAGTTGAAAATATGTTTTCAATTAAAATAGCTGACAGTTTGGCTAGTTTATAAACTATCCAGCCAGGGCCGTCTTTAACCTATTGGAGGCCCTGGGCATGTTAGGATAATGGGGCCCCTATGACTTTGACAGAACACTATTTTGTTAGAATAGACAAAGAAAGTAGATAAACAAGGTTAAATATTTATTTTTATTAACAATCATATGAAACGAATAGATAAATATCATCGCGCTTATTATTAGCTGTTTGGAGATTGATCGCAAGTTATCGACAAACATTGTATATTTCGAAACCAAACCCAATATATTGGGTTTAAGTCCAAATTAATTTAGGGAAATTCTTTTTCAAAACTGAAAAGTGTAAGGTATACTTCCTTTTTCTATAAGCAGTTGATTTATAAGTATACTTACTTGTAAAAAAGGGACTAGATTGTGAATTTACTTACATTGATATAACATTATTTTAAAATTAGTTAGGTAAAAGAAACACAAGTATTAATTTTTAAACCCCCAATTTAATTCAAGCATATTTGGTACCAATAAAATTATAAATAATAATACAAGTTATAAAAACAAACATAAAATAAACCATATGCAAATATGTACACTAAAAAACATGATTCCAATAATTAGGATATTTTATAAATAAATAATAAAGAATAAATAAAGAAAAACAATATTTTATTGATTTTTAAATAAAATTAGCTTATGTAGTTTTTGTCTAACAAATTCTGGTTTTTCAGAAGCCTTCTTACCTTCCCAATTTAGTCTGGAGCTTAAAAATATAACAATATTTTTTTTAATCAGAAGAATTCTATGATTGTCCAATATATCTTGGTTCTTTATATGATCAATCATTGCAGAATTTGAAAATATTGACTGTACATTATAGAATACTTTATTACTTATATACATGACACTATTTTTAAATTTAAATTTATTTCTAATTAATTTTTCAGTTTCTTGACAAATTATAACTACATTGTATTTGATCTGAGGGGGCCCCTGTCGATCCCGGGGCCCTGGGCACTTGCCCAAAGTGCCCAATGGGAAAGAGGGGTCTGTATCCAGCTAGTTTATAAACTATCCAAGTTTGCACATTAGCCATAACAAATATAAATAACAATGCAATATATTATATTATGTATTTCTAAAGGCGAGATTTAGCTTGTTTATTTCCATGAACAAGTTTAGTCCTCTAACCAGCTGCTGTTCTTCCACAACGTAAAACAAATAATCATTTATTTAAAAATTAGTTAATTTAACTCAAGTTGATTAAAAATCCATAATATAATATTATATGAGAGATCCCTATTGAAAATGCCATATAGAACCATATAAAAAACACGTATCTGGATTCTATATGGTTTCTATCTGGTTCAATATAAGTATTTGAAACAGGCATTTCACTATAGAACCAGATAGAAGATTACTTTATAGAACCAGATAAAAACACTCTAAAACACTATAGAACCAGATAGGGAAACCTATCTGGAAATACATATAGAACAGAAACCAGATAAATCCATTTATCTGGTTTCTGTTCTATATGTATTTCCAGATAGGTTTCCCTATATGGTTGAATATGAAAATTTTTAAAATGGAAATCCATATTCAACCATATAGAATCCGTAATGTTAACCAGGACTTTCCATATAGGACCTATAAAACCATATAGAACCAGATACGTTTCCTTATCGGATTCAATATGGGTTCTATATGGCATTTTCAATAGGGATCCGCATAATGTCGAGTGTAATACTATACTTTATATAGGTACTCCAATAAGAAGATAAATAAATAATTTTTAAAATTAAATAAATAAAATATGACATCTGTTAAATGGTCGACCTTACTTCTTACCAATTTTAAATATTATTACAGTCGCCTTTTTTCAATTTAAAACCGGATTGGTTCAAATCACAGTGCATATTAAAATCGGCCAATTACCGATAACAACGTGAATAATGCGTTTATTATTCACGTTGTTAGGCAGGAAGGATGTATTTAAATATAATTTTTATAATTATGTATTTTATATTCAAGAAGACTAAATACAGGATGAGTAACTCTCGACCACAAGGCATAATAGGGATGTTACAGAGTAACTGAACCGGCTACTTTGGAATAGTTATCACGTGCCTATTCCGCGTTAACTAAAAAAGGGTTTCAGTGCAATCCATTCTATTCACGATGCCGGTGACTGTGAATAACGTATAAAACCGATTGTACCGCAGTACAAAAAAGAAACCACCAATATATGAACGTGACTCATCGGGTGCCGAACATATCTCAGACATGCTAGCAGTAATGTTTTACTTGACTTGTACATTCGATGCAGCGGTAAATGTACTCACACGTAGGTTTTTAAGCATCCGGTCTAAACTGTGATGTGATCTCACTTTACACTGCCAAGTGGTTCGACAAAGATGGACATATGACGCGTGTCCTAGCTTGTTACTTAATTTTGTTGGAATTCAGTAGAGTTCGTGTTTTAGGCAATTTATTTTATTTTATTACATAGTAAGGCAACCAACTCTACCGTCGGCCATTTGTTTTTATGTCATATGATCTTTGTTTTTGCATATCGTGTTTCTGCTGTGTGTTTACGGATTAATAATCGTTTTAAACGTTGTAGTGCTAGTGGTTTTTATTTCAATTGTTATTGCATATTTATTGGACTTTATTGCAATTGTTATTGTACGTTTTTTGAACTTTAAATAAACGGTGTTTGTTTACGGATTAATAATCGTTTTAAACGTTGTAGTGGCAGTGGTTTATATATATTATGTAACACAGGTAGATGTCGTATAAAAATCCTTACCTAGAAATTCTAGGCTAGAATACAAAAATATTTTTATTATATAAATTTTGTACTAGTATTAGTTTAATACATTCTGAAGAAGCTACTGTGTAGCGAAACAACTGTCAATATTTAATAAATTTCGTGAAACTAACGCAAGTTGTTTTTATATGCACACAATTTAATTATCTTTCACTTTGTACCTGGCCTGCGTAATATTTGCGTTTAAAGTTAAAAAAAAACTTTATTTATTAATTAGTTTAAAATTACATTTTATTTAATTATCGTAGATTTTAATTATTAAAATTTAACTTTAAAAGCAAATATATCAGTAGTATGGCAACCAACATTACACTACAGATTTTTTACAAATATTTTTGCCCCCGTTAGAACAGCACTGCACTGGACCGTGACCTTTGATAGATTACTTCGTACGATTGTGCCTGATGAGTCACGTTCATATATTCGTGGTTTTTTGTTCTAAGATTCGTGGTTACTACTTTAGGTATTTTCTCGGACTTGGATCGGCGTCGTTGTTGCCGCGTTATTTTACTTTATAACCCGTGAATCATGGTTTGCATGATTAGGTACGGTACGTTTCGTTTATTATTAATTAATTATCTAATTATGGCTACTGATGAGACTAATAAATAAACTACAAGAGAAATATGGAGATAATTTTTTTTAGCAGAAAAAAGCAATAAATAAAAGATTATCCAAATTCATATTCTCATATATCTCATATTACCGCATTGATTCCGGTTATCACATGTAGGTACCTTAGGGTGCTTCAAAAATTCTTACCCTCTCAAATGTTTCTATTTAATATAAAAAAAAATCTCACCAAATATGGGCGTTCCTGCTCAAATCTAAGAGGTCGCTGTTTTTATTTTAGTTTCCCATTTAATTAACATGGGACAAAATAATTTTATGTTTGGAATTTTATACCTCTGTATTAAAGTAACTTATGGCAATGTTCATTGCAGGATTTTTTTATATTAAATAGAAACATTTGAGAGGGTAAGAGCGAAAAAAAATTAAATTTTATTTTTGAAGCACCCTCTTAAAATTAAATAGTCCAAATTTTACTATTTGAATTAGTACTGTTACTAAAAAAATAGTCGAATTCTACCTAAAGTTTGACTAATTTAAGATAAATTTAAATCTTCTAATTTGACTATTTCATCCGGTAAAATTTGACTAATTATTATTGACTACCTTTCTGCTTTGACAATTAGTAAAATATTACTTATAATTGGTAATTTTTGACTAATTCATTTTAAGAGAGTAGATCTAGACTTCCAATTACTATTTCTACATTAGCCTAACATTATTAGTTAATATTAAATATCCTTTACCAACTTAACTTATTCCCTATTTTTTTTTCTACAGAGTATGCTAATATATGACCCTTCCAAAAGAAAGACTGCCAAAGAGCTATTAAAGACAAACTATGTAAGGACTGCTAAATTAACGTCTCCAGAAATGGAAGCTTTTCCAGTGGACAAGCATGATGAGGAAGCTTCAGAATAATATGTTTTAAATGTTTATATTTTTACATTTGTATATTAAAGAGAAAAATATATTTTTTTCAAATTTTAATTTTGTTTTTTATCCATTTTACATCTTGCAGACGTCGGCCCGCCGCACAGTCGGGCTGGAACCCTCAAAACCTGGCGGAAATTAATTAAATAAAATGGAATTTAAAAATATTTACGTATCGCCCTTAGTAGTCTACTTACTGAGCCATCTTTCGGCAGTATTTAAATGTTTGGTAGTTTACCCTGATTGCCACAAGAGTGCCCAATATTTGCGATTTGACAGCGCAAGCGTTTTGCTTAGTTTATTTTGTTCGTATTTAAAGTGTATTCTAGGTGCAATTGATTAACAATTATTTTTTTGACAATGGAAATTCAGGTATGTAACTATATTTAAGTAAGTTTTCAATCCTTTTAATAATAGGGTGCGCACTGACACTGCGGTTTTTCATGATAATAAATTGTTTGTTCAGATATATCAAGATACGTTAAAATACAAAAATATTACAAAAATAAGATAAATAAAATGTCAAAACTTGTTATAACGTCATGAATCGCGACCTTAAACAATCAGCAAATGCGACCAAGTTGGCTTCTAAAGTTGATACTGTAAAATTTTGTATGAAAGCATATAGAAATATTTTTTTAAAACTTTAATAGTAACCTTAAACAATCACGCATTTTAAATGCACAAATATTGTATACCTACTTTATTTTCTAAAATTTTCTCAAAATGTAACGGGAGCGACATTTGAACTTTTTATCGAGTATTGAAACTCTTAAGAAATTTCGTGTTTATTCTTAATATTAGATTCTTAGCCTCACAATGTATGAATATTTTAAGGTTATAAATTACGTCGCAATTAAAGTATATTACTTCAGATATAGTTTTTATTTTGTTTAATAACACATCTGATTTTTTTTCAAGGTGGGGTAAGGTCCAAGCATTAAAAGTTTTTAAATATAGCAATTAATTCAGAGCATGCTAGACTTTATCAACAAGCTTTTCAAAAATCATTGGAACCACAACAACTGGTTTTTCCCGCTGAAGATGCTCTGACTGTTTTAATCAGGGTGGTTTTACTAGACGCCAAACTTTCTCGCAAGCAATGTGATCTAATTAGAAAAAATGCGCTAGAAAAATTTCCTTTCTACAAAATAGTGCAACCACAAAACACTACAGAGCGATTATGCCAAATATTGTCACACGTCATCATTCAATATTCAAGAATTGAATAAATTATGTTTGATTTCTAAATCGGGGCCCAGGTAGCACAACATGACGAAACCGTGACGATTTGTGTCCGTTGTGTCCAATTGGACACAAATCGTCACGGTTTCGTCACGTTGTGCTACCTGGGGGTTTGACGGGTCTTCAGGACACAGTTCGTACAAGCAAGCATTTTATAACCTGGAAGCAGACGATTCAGCTGCTTTCATAATATGCTTGAATCCACTTTGTTTAAAAAATGAAGACGTAGTAATATCGCAAAATACACGTTCCAGATCTACATGATATTGTCGATTTATTAAAATCAAATTTAAGAACCCTATTGTAAATGACCAATAGAATCCAACAAAAAATAAGTAATTGGTTTGAAATGTGTTTTGGCGCTATGAATCACCAATTCATTCTAGTTGAATTCCTATTGGTAATTTCCAATGAACCCGGACAACAATCGGGATTTCCTGGTGAAGTCATGATGATATCACAACGTGATTTTTTTTATCACGCTGTGATATCCTGAGTACATACACATGCTTCATCACAGTGATATCATGTAGAACTCACGGTGTGATATTTGCGAATATTTTCTTGGATTTCAATTAACTATATATAGTTAATATAAAGCCAAAAAAATATTGAATGTTAAACTGTTGATTCAATTGTTAACATACTATTTCTTTCAATGTACAAATATTTTGCAAAAATGAATATCCAAACACCGATGGCATAAAAAATCATGTCGTGATTTTTTTATGACCAAACACTGATGGCATAAAAAATCATGTAGTGATTTTTTATGCCATCGCACAGTAGGCTAGAGCGCGCTTCCAGCGCGAAGAAATTCAAAATAAGTAAGTGTTTTATTTTGATCAAATTTAGGGAATTTTGAATTCTTTAATATCTGTAGATAATGAAACATCTTTAAATCACCTTCAAATCTGTTGAATTTTTATCAGGTAACCAGTCAAAGTTTAGGAATTATAATTACTTGCTTCGTGTTGATAAATTGAGCGTAAAAGTATTGCTTCTCTTACAATGTGTATTATTAATTTATTATTACTTTTTGACTATAATTGTATTAAATATTGTCATACGTTATGGCTGGAACGAATAATGGTTAGTTTTTATTATTATTGTACTGTCACTACCTTAATAAAGTAACCGCTGCATACTTTTAATGTATGTATGGACATTATTAAGGTTTTAAAAAATGTCACTCACTGTCACACTCTGTGTTTAGGTTTTTTTAATAGCTTACCGTTCTGTCTTTCAAATAAATCTTAAATCAAGTGCTAGTAGGCGCAACAAATATGATTTGTTTATTTTTTTCAGTTAATACATTATCCCTAACTCATACGGAGCTTTGTGAAAAGTGTTTTAGTTTGAAGCATTTCAATATAAAATTAGTTTTAATATACTAAGTAGACTACGCATTTACAAAAATAGATGTATCTCGAAAAAAAAAATTCAATTCAATTTTTTTTTATATGGAAAAACGCTTGAAGCCCAGAACAAATATCATTGTATTAAATATTGTCATACATTGGTGATGGGAACCATCAATTAAAAAGCTACTAACAACTACTAACAATAAATAATTTTAATACTGATAACTATTAGTGAATATTAATACTTTTTGTCACCACCGCAGTAGGCTAGAGAGCGCTTCCAGCGCGTGAAAATTTAAAATGAGTAAGTGTTTTATTTCGACAAAATTTAGTAAATTTTGAATTCTTTAATATCTGTAGCAAATTATAATTACTTGCTTTGTGTTGGTAAATTGCGGGTGAAGGTTTTGCTTCTCTTACAATGTTAATTCCTAATTTATTTTTAATTTTTGACCATCATTGTATTCAATACTGTCATACGTTATGGCTGGAACAAATAATGGTAAGTTTTTATAATTATTGTACTGTCCCTACGTCAATAAAGAAAGCGCTGCATATTTTTTATGTATGTATGAACAATACTATCGTTTTAAAAAATGTCACGCATTCTCACACTCTCTGTTAAGTGTTTTTAATAGCTTACTGTTCTGTCTTTTAAATAAATCTAAAATCAAGTGCTAGTAGGCGCCACAAATATTTTTTGTTTGAAGCATTTTAATAGAAAGTTGGTTTTAAATTACTTAGTAGACTAAGCATTTACAAAAATAAATGGATCTCGGAAAAAACTTAATTCAAAAATTTAATTTTTTTCAAAAAATATAGAAAAACGCTGAAAGGCCAGAAGTAATATTATTGTATAAAATACTGTCATAAATAACAATTAGGTTTTATTTTATAAATGTTCAGTTATATTTTTTTAATTTAATCATTAAAACTATAGATCTTAATTTTGCCATCACACAAACATACTTTTGTTGTTAAAGTATTATATTGTGGTTTTGTTTTTCTTTTGGTAGTAGAAAGTAATTTTTATTAAAATTTCATCAATAAGACCAAAAAAATTAATATTAACTAAAAATTACTTAACCAAATAATTTCTGCGCGATAAATTGGCTCTCCAGCCCACTGTGCATCGGTGCAAAAATAAATATCCAAACACCGCGGTGTTTGGATATTTATTTTTGCGCCACATTCGTACATTGAGAGAAAAAGTATACCTACATAATATATTATATGGATATTGAATCAACAGTTTTTGTGGTTAAATCCCCCGAGCGAGGGAGGAAATGTCTCTTTTCCTACCCGGGAGGAAAAAAAATTCCTAGCAAGAGTTTTTGTACCTTGTCCAGCCCTATTTGATTTTTTAGGAAAAAGATTTACTCCGCGCTTGTCCAATCATTCTTTGAACATCTATATTTATTTTCATATCGCTCTTTCGATTTTTAAGAAAGGGGAATTAATTGCGGCAGGTCTTCTTCGCTAGAACTCATTTTCAAAACGTAGGAAGAATTTCAAATTTATAATAAACATTCTGACAGCTTATAACAACTGTTATGTTTGTATTAAAAAAATACCATAGCAACAAAGCGTTGTCAACATAACGTCGGCGACGCAACACCTACTTAATATTTTGTCATAATTTTATAGTCCCATACCGGGTTAGTAAAAGGAACCGGAACCAGAGCCGGCTTAAGGCAATTGAGCGCCTTAGGCACTTAAAAATTTAGCTCCTCTAACTAGATACTATACTTACGGGGCCCGGGGCAAATTTTAAAAAAGCTTATTAGAGCCACCCCAAACTGTTAGCTTAAGGGCGCCCGAGCATTATAACCTAATTATTCCCTATGAATTAGAATACTTTTTATCATTAAAAAAATACATAAAAAACATAAATAACATACAAACATAACAAATATAATGTAAATAAAAAGTGTTAGGACTTATAAGTGCGTTTTTCTGCAAGATGTCATTAGTAAGTATTTGTTTGTTAGATGTACTGCTGGTTTATTGTAATTAGTTTAATATTAAAATTTCAGAAATACCTTAAAACAAACAGAAAAATTAACACTATCTAAATGTGGATTTAGCCAGCATTTTGTGTAACGTAATCTAACGTAACGTAATTTAATTTAAAAGCCATGGCCCGGCTAGGCCAGGCCAGGCTAAATCAACCTTAACTATCGAACACAGACTGCTATTACCAAGCACACAACACATAGAAGTGCCACTCTTGAATAAACGCGAAAACACCCAAGTCCTTCCTGCAGCAGTTTCCTCTAGTATCGCGTACCCTCTGGGGCGAGCACACATCACAGCGGGTACCCGATGCAAGAGGAATCCGTGTGCTTGGAGCATACGGGGGTTTTGAAATAGTTTAAATAGTGCTAAAGATATGTTTATACAGGGTAAAGTTTACAAATTAAATTATCTTTTAAGTTTTTGTTTGCAGTTTAACGTTAAGATTTATTATTATTTGTTAATTATACAGTTAATAATAAAATATCTTATTCTACTTCAAAACGCAGTGCCCTCGTAATCAAGCATGGTGATATAACACCTGATTAATGTATAAATAATAAAAACAGTAAATAATATTCTGTTGATTCAATATATATGTGGGTATACTTTTTCTCTGCGAATGTGGCGCAAAAATAAATATCCAAACACCGATGGCATAAAAAATCACGACATGATTTTTTAGGCTATCGGTGTTTGGGCATAAAAAATCACAACATGATTTTTTATGCCATCAGTGCACCGACATGTTTGGATATTTATTTTTGCGCCACATTCGTACATTGAAAGTATGTTAACAATTGAATTAACAGTTTTTGCGGTTAAATACATTTAATATTTTCTTGGATGTAAATTAACTATTAATTTAAATCCAAAAAAATATTGAATGTATTTAACCACAAAAACTGTTGATTCAATATCCATATAATATATTATGTGGTGGATATTTATTTTTGCGCCACATTCGTACATTGAGAGAAAAAGTATACCTACATAATATATTATATGGATATTGAATCAACAGTTTTTGTGGTTAAATACATTCAATTTTTTTTGGATTTAAATTAATAGTTAATTTACATCCAAGAAAATATTAAATGTATTTAACCGCAAAAACTGTTAATTCAATTGTTAACATACTTTCAATGTACGAATGTGGCGCAAAAATAAATATCCAAACATGTCGGTGCACTGATGGCATAAAAAATCATGTTGTGATTTTTTATGCCCAAACACCGATAGCCTAAAAAATCATGTCGTGATTTTTTATGCCATCGGTGTTTGGATATTTATTTTTGCGCCACATTCGCAGAGAAAAAGTATACCCACATATATATTGAATCAACAGAATATTATTTACTGTTTTTATTATTTATACATTAATCAGGTGTTATATCACCATGCTTGATTACGAGGGCACTGCGTTTTGAAGTAGAATAAGATATTTTATTATTAACTGTATAATTAACAAATAATAATAAATCTTAACGTTAAACTGCAAACAAAAACTTAAAAGATAGTTTAATTTGTAAACTTTACCCTGTATAAACATATCTTTAGCACTATTTAAACTATTTCAAAACCCCCGTATGCTCCAAGCACACGGATTCCTCTTGCATCGGGTACCCGCTGTGATGTGTGCTCACCCCAGAGGGTACGCGATACTAGAGGAAACTGCTGCAGGAAGGACTTGGGTGTTTTCGCGTTTATTCAAGAGTGGCACTTCTATGTGTTGTGTGCTTGGTAATAGCAGTCTGTGTTCGATAGTTAAGGTTGATTTAGCCTGGCCTGGCCTAGCCGGGCCATGGCTTTTAAATTAAATTACGTTACGTTAGATTACGTTACACAAAATGCTGGCTAAATCCACATTTAGATAGTGTTAATTTTTCTGTTTGTTTTAAGGTATTTCTGAAATTTTAATATTAAACTAATTACAATAAACCAGCAGTACATCTAACAAACAAATACTTACTAATGACATCTTGCAGAAAAACGCACTTATAAGTCCTAACACTTTTTATTTACATTATATTTGTTATGTTTGTATGTTATTTATGTTTTTTATGTATTTTTTTAATGATAAAAAGTATTCTAATTCATAGGGAATAATTAGGTTATAATGCTCGGGCGCCCTTAAGCTAACAGTTTGGGGTGGCTCTAATAAGCTTTTTTAAAATTTGCCCCGGGCCCCGTAAGTATAGTATCTAGTTAGAGGAGCTAAATTTTTAAGTGCCTAAGGCGCTCAATTGCCTTAAGCCGGCTCTGGTTCCGGTTCCTTTTACTAACCCGGTATGGGACTATAAAATTAATTTATAATTATGACAAAATATTAAGTAGGTGTTGCGTCGCCGACGTTATGTTGACAACGCTTTGTTGCTATGGTATTTTTTTAATACAAACATAACAGTTGTTATAAGCTGTCAGAATGTTTATTATAAATTTGAAATTCTTCCTATGTTTTGAAAATGAGTTCTAGCGAAGAAGACCTGCCGCAATTAATTCCCCTTTCTTAAAAATCGAAAGAGCGATATGAAAATAAATATAGATGTTCAAAGAATGATTGGACAAGCGCGGAGTAAATCTTTTTCCTAAAAAATCAAATAGGGCTGGACAAGGTACAAAAACTCTTGCTAGGAATTTTTTTTCCTCCCGGGTAGGAAAAGAGGCATTTCCTCCCTCGCTCGGGGGTGGAAAATTAAGTTTTCCAGTAAGGTAGTAGAAAAAACATTTTTTTTAATATATAATTATACTTAAGTACACTACTAACACTAGGCACTTAACACTGAAATCGACTAATAAAAAAAACCGCTAATAAATGGCGTCCAAAGACTTGTTGTTTTTTCTTTATGATGGCGTCTCAACCTCGTTGATTTTGCGCAGCTACACGAAAGCCCTCTTGCGATATTTGTATTGTATTGGGAATAACCAATTAGCAAATTTTTCGAATCTTACACTGGGAATGCCCAATTGAATTCAATTGGAAATTACCTATAGGTAGCTACCTATAGCTAGCTAGCTTTATCCAATCGAAACCAATAAAAACCATTAGAATCCTAATTGGACTTTTCCATCATGAAAAATACCAGTAAAAACCATTTCTATTTTATATCGCGCCCAATTAAATCCAGTAAGTCTAATTCAGACCCATTGATACCAACCAATACTTCAATTGGTTTCTACAGGAATTAATCGGTCATTTACAACAGGGTAGCTTTTAAGAGCCGATTGCTTGCTCGTCTGCCTTCTTCGAGAGCTCAAGTCACAGCTTCTTCGAGAGCTCAAGTCACAGAGGCTCAAGTCGTACTACAGAACATAAGAGTCCAGAGATAAGAGTCGTACTATAAATGCGGCCGTGAAAGCCTAAAAATTATTTAGTGTCAAAGATACTTCATTGTCAAAAACTTCATTTTAATGGTGTGACATTTAAAATAATGTAAAAAATTAAATTAAAAGTTCATTTTATGTTTAAAATGTTATTTTTTTACAAATGTACTTGAGTTTAAAATCTTTTTCTTTTGAATTTTTGAAACATGAGTTCAAACTACCCCCACAAGAACCACCACCATAAAAGAGTGAAGTTATCCAAAGGCATACGCAAAAGAAGAAAAGTGACCATTGTTCCAAGTCATGTGGCCACAAGGGACAGACAACATCTGCTCCGCTCATGTGTATCAACAAAGTTACATGGTAATAATGTTCAAATAGCCCCACCAACCATTAAACTAGCAGTTGCTGCTAAGGGATATCCAGAAGAGGCGCTATCTTACAAGCAAGGAGAAATAATAAAAGCATATTTGATAGATAATATGATAAATGAATTATCAGATATTCAACCAAAGTTTGAAGATGCTAGATATTATGCTGATGTCTTACTATTAACGTGCAGCAACGTATCTACTAAATCTTGGCTTGCGAAGGTTCTTAAAAGATTGCCTTGTGAAGGCATAAGCCTACAGCTTTTGGATGCTAAAGATTTAGTTCCGCCAATAAAAACATTGATCTACATTTCTGGTCCGCCAGAACAACCTGAGCGAATTGTTGAGTTTATAAAATTTCAAAATAAAATTGATACAAGTAGTTGGCGTGTTGTTTGTAAGAAACCTGACTCACAGGGGCAGTTTTTTATTATTTACATGAACGAAGCGTCTTGGAAAAGTATAGAAAATACCGGATGTCGGCCATTTTACAAGCTCGGTAGACTACCTTTTAAACTGCTAAGGAAAAGTTACGAAATACATTCGACGTTGATGGACGCAAAATATGAAGGTCCACACACCAATAGATGCAGCAATACATTCCATAGTGATAAGCCATGCAGTGTAGCGAATGACAAGACACTTTGCGAGTCTCTATATAACAATTGGCCTTACCATAAAACTGGTTCTTCAACAAATATTAGTGAACCCAATCAGTTTCAACGCTCTTGTGCTCAAGCCGGTGATAATTCGCAAATCAGTCCAAATAATGATCAAAACATAAATCACGAATTATAAATTGTAAATAAAACTATAGCTTTATAAAACTTATTTTTATTAAAAACGCAATTCATTAATAAATATGGAGTATACTTAAAATTAGGTTCTAATCTTCTGATGTGAATGTTTCTGGCACTGTGTGAATGATGACCTTTCTCTTTGGATCAAATGAGAAGTTGTTGGATTCAAAGATTTTGCTCTTGTAGAATGGTTTAAGATCATGAATATCAATTTGCTTTGCCTAAAATCAATAATCACAGTTAATAAAGCAATAATAAAATCTGGAGAAAAGCCAAAGTTGTTTGGAGATTCGCAACAAAACTTTCCTTGTTTTACAATTTTACAATAATATCTAAAGAAATCTGACCCCACCAAACATGATGTAAACAACTCAAAAATAGCATAGCATACCTTATCCATGAGATCCTTCTCATCAATCTCAATGGTAAGAGCCTCCAATTCGTTTGTACCTCTTTGGAATGTGAGTTGATCTTGCGACAACTGGCGCAAAATATAGAACAACAATTCACTGTGATCTTTCTTGAACAATAGGTATCTCTGGAAAACTTGTCTCATCGATTTCATCACGCTGTATTTTTGCGTCTCGACGAAGCTTTCCAACATCATTCTTACTGCCATGTTTACATCGACATCTTGTACATACTCCCTTAAATGCAACCTCGCATGTGCTTCGGACATACGGATAATACTTTCAATGTGACGAACTGTGATGGGAAGACTTCCCGTGGCCAACGATTCCTGTCTGAGTTGACTGTAAATGTTGGCCACCTTATCTTGATCCATGTTTTGTAGTTTGGGATGGATATTTTCTCTGGCATAAACAAGGTACTTCTTTAACATCTCCTGGGGAATAGACATGTCGTTTTCGACTTCAACCACCACTTCGTCGTCTTTTTTGGACGGGTGATGTTTTATATGCGAGCCGACAACGAATCTGGCCAAATGTTGATCTTGTATGGGGTCGATTTCGTCTCTGACCACGCAGAGGATATCGAAACGAGACAAGATCGGATCGGAGAGATTCACGTTTTCTGCGAAAGTCATACTGGCGTCGTAGCGACCTCCGATAGGATTAGCAGCCGCTATTACTGAACAACGTGCCTGTAAACTTGTCACGATACCGGCTTTGGAGATCGAAATCGATTGCTGTTCCATAGCTTCATGGATTGATGTTCTGTCCGCATCGTTCATCTAAAAAAATAATTTTTAGTAATTATATTCAAGATGATTTTTTTTGCGAAAATTTGGGAAAATTAACTGGATTTTTTTTAATTTACAAAATGTTTTTTTAAAACGTCTATTAAAAAATACGGTATATTACTATTTAAAGATTAACTAATATATTCATATACAGAGGGATACACAACTGGCGTAATAGGAGTACAAACCTGACGTGATATATTACGGAATTAATATAATAAGAAGTTATAATATGTAATACCAGGTAATACCAAATAATATCACATAGCAATGTAATAGAACAAAATTAACTGATATTCATTATAGAGGGGTAAACAACTGGCGTAATAGGAGTAGAAATCTGACGTGATATATTACGGAATTAATGTAATAATAAGTTATAGTACGTAATACCACGTAATATCAAGTAATATCATGTATTGGCAATGTAATAGAACAAAATTAACATATTTATTACAAAGGGGTAAACAACTGGCGTAATAGAAGTACAAACCTAACGAATGTAATAACAAGTTAAAGTACGTAATAGCAATGTAAGAACAAAATTAACTAATATATTCATTAAAGAGTGGTAAAGAACTGGCGTAATAGTATAAATCTGACGTGATATATTACGGATTTAATGTAATAACTATTTATAGTACGTAAACCACGTAATACCAAGTAATTTCACGTAATAGCATTGAAATAGAATAAAATTAACATATTCATTACTCAGGGGTAAACACCTGGCGTAATAGAAGTACAAACCTGACGTGATATATTACGGATTTAATGTAATAACAAGTTATAGTAGGTAATACCCTGTAATACCAAGTAATATCACGTAATAATAATGTAATAGAATAAAATTAACTGATATATTTATTACAGAGGGGTAAACAACAGGCGTAATAGGAGTACAAACTTGACGTGATATATTACGGATTTAATGTAATAATGGCATAGCACCGAACAAAGAACACCTAGAAGGGCCACTCTTAAATAAACGCAAAAACACCCGAGTCCTTCCGACAGCAGTTTCCCCCTGCATCGCGTACCCGCTATGGTGTGCAGCACACCAAAGCGGGTACGCGTTGCAAGGGGAAATTGTGTGCTTGGAGCATACGGGGGGTTTTGAAATAAGAAGTGCTAGAGATATGTTTAAACAGGGTGTAGTTTAAAAACTAAATTTTGTTATAAGTTTTTCTTTGCGGTTTAACGTTAAGTTTTATTATTTGTTAATTATACCGAATTACTGTTCAGTGAATAATGAAATTTCATATTCTACTTCAAAACGCAGTGCCCTCATAATCATGGAACTAAGTCACCGCCTACTCAAATGCGTTGCCGATGCCACTGACACTTTTATCTTACGATTTCAAAGTGCCGCCTTCAAGTGAATCTCCTGTGTTGTTTGTTATGGTACGTAATACCACGAATAAAACAGGTAATACATAGTATAATAGGTAATGACCACATGGCGCGCGTTTATTATTATACACGTCGTTTATTCTGTTTCAATTAGCAAATTAAAACCCATAGTAAACTGTTACAATGGTTAACTATACTATAGACCAGTCGGAAAAAGCTCATATTAAAGCCGAGCATACATTTCACTACCAAGGCGTCAGCCGAGGCAGTAGATTGTGTGCAAGACAATTAATTCGCCGCCGTGTTTTATATACTATTTTATTTCAAGCAAATTATAATAATAATTCTTTAAAATTTTGTCACATCAATTTTAAGTTGGGTTCAACTGACATTATGACATTTTAGTATCATTTTTGTACTGAGGTTTATAATAATTTCACATTTCAGTCTTTTATAGACTATGAAGTGTAATAATATGAAAATTATTATACGTTTGCTAATATCGTCAACTTTTCTTACAATTAGTTTAAATTATGCAGCACTTTATAAAGGGTAATCCAATTTTAGTTTTCGCTGTATTTCTGATATTGTGATTATTTGAATTGATTAATAAACATTATTATTATTATTATTATTATTAACTTTTCGAATCTTCGGATTTTTTTTATTAATATTGAATAGTATATTCTGTAACAAGTTTAATAAGGCATATTCCGCTCGAGTGAAAAGTTTGTCACACGAGCCAAAGGCGAGTTTGACGGTTTGACGAGAGGGGAATATGCAATTCCAAACGTGTTTCAGACTATACTTTTTCTACGTTTCCAAAAAATACCATAGACAAATAATTTAATTGGAAGAAAGTGAGGTTGGATTGGTCTAAAATTTGTTAGATATTAAAAACAGAGATGTCGCCACGAGTGTTTATTCTGTCATCAGATGATAGAATATTTCATTCTGTAACACTTTACGGAATATAAGTCATTCCATAGATAAAAGTGATATTAGATCGGTCATATTCCATAATAGAAGTAGAAAAAATAATATTACTTAACCATCTGTAGGCAATTTTGGATTACTTTTTTGTTGATTTCTGGCGGATATTGGCTTTTATGTGCTCCACTTTTTCGGGTGTTGGTGTAGGCACGTCGCGACGCCCTAATTGTAAAAAACTACATTGTTCATATCCATCGAATTGAAAAAAACTAATTATTCTTAGCATTGTTAAAATACATTGGATGTACATTCAGGCATTTTGTGTTTTATTACTTAATATAATTTCCTCTCTAGCATCCTACATATCTAGAAGTTACTTGACAACATGGCTAACTTAGTCAAATTTGAATTCGCGCGATTTTTTAAACCGCACTGAGTTACTGCCATTTGGGTACGTTCTCCTACAAATACCTTGGTGGCTGGTAGTCGCTACCGGGTAACTGCTACTTCCAACGGTTAGCGAAAAATCATTTGTGACAGCAACTTAGTAGCTTGTAGGAAAACAACTTAATGTTGTTTAAGTCTTGGCGACTAAGTAGCATCTACGCGGTAGCAACTACCAGCAACCAGCGAATTTAAGGAGAACGTGGCTCATGCCCATCACAGTAGTAAATCACTGACTACATAAAAAGCACTTTTATTTTGTTTAGGATAGGTATACAAAATTAAAGTTGTAGGTTTGTCTTACCTTGTCAAACTCATCAATGAGGCAGACCCCTTGATCAGCCAGTACTAGTGCTCCTGCTTCAAGAGTCCAGTCTCTGCTGACAGGATTTTTTCTTACATAAGCCGTCAAACCGACAGCGCTGGCTCCCTGGCCGGTAGTGAAAACGGCTCTGGGGGCGATTTTTTCGACGAATTTTAAAAATTGAGATTTTGCCGTACCTGGATCACCGCAAATTAACACATTGATGTCTCCTCTCACTTTGTGTTTTTGTCCTAATAAAATATAGTATTTTAAAAAATGTCTTAAACATCAATGTTTTTTTTTTTACAAAATATACTTTTTGATGTGTAATACTACGGCCGGGGGAAAATGGAGCGTCACGCGTAAGATGTAACGCATTGGCAATATTGCCTTTTCTACGGATAAATCCGCAGATTAACGGATTTCATGTGTGAACTACGGATATACGGATTTCTTAAGTGTAAACTGCCTAAATTTAAACAAAATTGGAAAATTGAAAACTACCCTTCCATTAAATTTACTTAAAACCGGTACACAGTAGGCTAGAGAGCGCTTCTAATGTATGTATGGACATTACTAAGGTTTTAAAAAATGTCACGCACTGTCACACTCTGTGATTAAGTGTTTTTAATAGCTTACTGTTCTGTCTTTCAAAGAAATCTAAAATCAAGTGCTAGTAGGCGCAACAAATATGTTTTATTTTTTTCAGTTAATCATTATCTGTAACTCATACGTAGTTTGAAGCATATTAATATAAAGTTAGTTTTAGATTACTTAGTAGACTATGCAATTACAAAAATAAATGTATCTCGGAAAAACTTAATTCAAAAATTATTTTTTTTCGAAAAATATAGAAAAACGCTGGAAGCCATGAAGAAATAGCATTGTATTAAATACTGTCATATGCTGGTGATGAAAACCATAAATTAAAAAGCTACTGATAACAATGAATAATTTTGATTTAATTATTGATAACTATTAATGAATATTAATAATTTTTCCCACCACCGCTAGAGGCTAGATTAGAGAGCGCTTCCAGCGCGCGGAAATTTTGAATGAGTAATGTTTTATTTCGACTATTTCCCTGGTCTTAATTTCCACCAATCACAAACGCGCAATTTTGAATTACAAATGGTTTCTAGGTGAAAAAACTGTATGACAGCACCTGTAAGCAGTTTACCCGCGGCAAAACTGTATGACAGCACCTGTCATCAGTTTACCCGCGGCAAAACTTGACAGCTGTTGTCACCAAAAATTGCAATTTATATTTTATTTGTTAACTGTTACTCATGAAATAGTCTTGTCAAATACCATTCGGGCATCTAATTTTTCCTGTGAAAAAAATCGAAAAAACACAATGCTAAGTAATATTTTTTAACAAAATGCATTTGTGCAGGTGCAAAAATCCTCGTCTTCGACTCGGATTTTTGTTAAAATATTACTTAGCAACGTGTTTTTTCGATTTTTTTCGGAAAAATTAGATGCCCTTATGATATAACTTACGACAAAATTTAGTGAATTTTGAATTATTTCATATCTGTAGCAAATGAAATAACGTTATATTACCTTCAAATCTGTTGTATTTTTATCAGGTAACTAGTCAAGGTTTAAGAACCATAATTACTTGCTTTGTGTTGGTAAATTGCGCGTGAAGGTATTGCTTCTCTTGCAATGTTTATTCCTAATTTATTTTTTGAAAAATATAGAAAAAGGCTGAAAGCTCAAAATAAATATTATTGTATTGAATACTGTCATACATAAGAATTAAGTTTTATTTTATTAATGTTCAATTATATTTTTGTAATTTAGTCATTAAAACTATAGATCACACAAAGTATTATATTGTGGATTTGTTTTTCTATTCGTAGTAAAAAGTAATTTTTATTAAAACTTCATCAATTATATCAAAAAAATAAACATTAACTAAGAATTACTTAAACAAATAATTTCTGCGCGTTAAATTGGCTCTCTAGTCCACTGTGCGGTAGATCGAAAAGTGCCGAAATTCGAACAAAATTTAAAACCGGGTAATTGAAAATTAAATCGATAATTTTGAGACTTGCGTGGTTTTTACATAGCAAATGTAAATAACCCGGTAGTAAAGATTAAAATTTGCAAAAAAATTGACAGGTGGTTTTTGAAATAAACGATTTTATTATGTTTTGGGTAATTGAAATCTGACCAAATTCGAACAAAATTTGATAATTAAAAACTGCGCGACACAAAAATGGTAGGACAAATTTATGGTGGAATAAATTGAAAAAAATTTTGCAGTCGATAAATTTAAAAAATGGTGGGACAAAATTGCACTGTAGCAAAAATTTATAAATGGTAGGACAAATACGCACAGTAACATAAATTTAAAAACCCAGCCAAGATGTGTTAACATACAGGGTTTTTGGAAATAAATGGTAAAAAATCAAGAGGGTGGTAGGCCACGCCGAGTCAAGCATTTCTATTCATGGGGATATGTGACTGGAAACGCCCTCCCACTGAGCTATATGCGTAAAAAAATACGCGCACCGTTTGAATTTCGCGCGCGGACGGGCGGACGTAATCTTGTTTGTAACTATGGTAAATTTAAAAGGTGAGGTACCTAACCTCAATTCTACTGTCAGTGACAGATACCGTACCTTAATCAAACTAAAAGTTACATACCTAAAGTGACAGATACCTAACCTCAATTTGAGATTTAATCTACGAGCCCAGAATCATATCATTTGGCCCAGACAATATTTTAATTTTTACATTATTTCAGACAATATTGGTAAACAAAAAAAAAATATCTATTGTTATAATAATAGTTGGATTCAATAGATTTTCTATTTGAAATAATGTAAATATTGCCTGGGCAAATGATATGATTCTGGGGTAAACCACTGATTTTTTTAAATTAAAAATCGCATACAAATTAACAGGTAAGGAAAAGAATCACAAGGGTAGTCATGCGCAATGCGTCGCTAAGAGAAATTTCTTATTGATAAGGATTTTTCCTTATTGATAACGACCAGTGTTGCCAGAACTTATTTTCAAATAGTACTAGTTTTCAGTTAAAAAAGTACCAGATTTAAAAAAAAAGTACCATATTTTAGAACTCCAAAATAAAGTTTTAGGTAAGGAGGGGTGAAAATTTTTTTTATTCATTTAGTTTAATAGTAATATATAGTTATTGCATTTAATACTACTTTACTTTCATATTATAAATAGTATAATTACCTCTCCATAATAAATATCCCCCTATTAATATTATATAATAATTATATACACTTAATACCTAATTATATACACTTTTGTTAAAATACAGAAAGTTTCTATCAGAATTTTTAATGACAAGTGACAGTCATGCGCAACAACTCTCTTTAGTTGGTTGGTTTAGTAGGTTTCGCCACAAGGTGGGTGTCGCCATCTATTATCATTCCGCCCAATGTTTCTAAATGTGTATTTATAGTTGCGTGTATCCGTTTGAAATTTATAATAATTTTAATTAAGTAGGGTAAAAAATTGTTATTTAATTTTTAGGCCCATATATCAAAAAGTACTAGATTTTGATTCAAGGGTACTAGGGTATAGAATGTTTTAAAAAAGTACTAGATCTAGTACAATTGTACTAGACTGGCAACACTGATAACGACTGATAAGGAAAAATCAGAACACAACGTCCACATAACGTTGAACGTTGGTCTCGCTGATTTTTACAACCAAGATTACATCCGGCCCGTCTGCGCGCGAAATTAAAACGGTGCGCGCAGTTTTTGTTAAATAAACACTTGAAAAATTCCTGCTAAAACAATTTTAAGAAAAATAAAAAAATATTTGTAAAAACTTTGTAAACTGTAACTAAACTTTCAAATTTCATCAATAAAAATAAAATACAAATTATAAATTTTTGAAGAAACCACATGAAACGCGATTTCATAAAGGTTTTGAATTATTACAAAAGAAAAAATAAAATAAATTTTTAACCTAAAAGATTGGTAGATGTAAAAAAAACATGAAAAAAACGTATTTATCTACTCCTACATTGCCGAGCTGTGACTTTATGGCGTTTTAGTCACAGGCAAGTTAGCAACAGTGGCTTTTGGGCATTTTAGTCACGGGCTAAAGTAAGCTTTATTATATATGGGGGAAAAGTGAAGTTAAATCCGTTCACAGTTTACAGATGTCAAATGTTTAACAAGTTAAATTGGCTAGTATGCAACTCATTTTATAAACTTATCTAGACAGTAGTTTTATTAAACACTTGCTTGCAAGCTCAATATCTTTAGAAAAATTATTTTTATAATGTGAATTTTGAAGAGTGTATATTAATAATATTATTAATAAAGTAAAAAAAAAATATTTTATTTCCTTAATGGAAAATTTTGACCGACACTAAAAAAATTATTTGGTAGAACTTTTAAATAAGAAAATCATATGTATGTTATTATCATTATTATTATTAAATGCAATTGCATAATTTATGATGAGAAGCAATAAATACCTACCAAAAATGTAGTTACTTTTTTGTTAAAATTTTCCATTTGCATTATTATTAAATTTTTTGTAAATTTTCGTAAAATAAATGCGGGAACTTTTGACTATTTTATTCGCAAACCCAAGTCGGAAAAATTGTATTTTTTATTTGATTTATTTAATGGCAAAAGATGTAAAAAAAATAAAATTTGAGAAAAAACTGGATGGTTTTTTTCCCATAACATCTCTAAAGATGTTTACTTAAAAAGTCTCTGTCATCATTTCACCTGGATTTTTAGATTCTCCTCCAAACAAAGCCAGTGCCAATGCCCTTTTGATGTAATCATGCCCATAGATAGAGGGCGCAATCGAAGCGATAATTCTATCTGCAATTCTATGATCCTTGCTCATTTTAATTATAGCATTTATGTCATCATCGGTCAAAGATTGAACGATTTGTTTGCAGTCTTTCACAACCAAGTGATTTGCGATAATGACAGTTGAAAATACCGGAAATCCATTGTCCATGTTGAGAGATCCATCATAGTTGTGCGTGTATATTCCGGTAACGTCCACTTCGTCACCCGGTTTGCATCTATCACACAAATCAGCCAATAGAATGCAATCTTTTGAACGGGGTACTCTACCGGCTGGTATGCGGCCAGGAGATTCTTGGAGTGTTATTTTTTGGTAATTTCTGTATACGGTTTGTTCCATGTTGATCTAAAAACATAAAACAAAAATATGATTAAGTTGTAGTTTACAACAATTTTGGATAACAACTAACAAAGCACACTTTTACTTTTTCGTTTACCAGAACGAAAAATATAATTTTACTATTTTTTTTTAAGTACATAAAAATAATATTTTTTTTTCTTCACATTGTTTTTTTAAACCTATTTATAAATTATGCATATTTTTACATAATTTAGGCAAGAATTCGTTTTCACGAAAATTTTAAAATAATTTAATAAAAATACAAATAAAGAATTTTATGAAGTGACAACAGTGCAGATCAAATATGTATATCGAGTAAAAACATCTTCATTTATATTTAAAGTTTAGTGCTATTGGATATATTTTATTTAAATAAAGGGTTGTTTTATTTTATAAGAACAAGTTAAAAAATCCTAAAACAAAATAAATACCCTTTTAACAAAATTTCATGTCATGTATTGTACACTGTTTTTTATATAAGTCCAAGAATGATTATGAGCACATAATATTATATAAGTTATTCATTAAAACAATTTAAAATATTTTACTGGGAGTAAAATATACTCGTATTATATTGGTTAAAGAAATACTAAAAGATCTAAGCACAGTTCTACATCATAATAGGGCTACTTTACGTTTAAATTATAATTATAAGTATAGTATAATAACAAGTAATATGACGTTATATCAAGTAATATAACGTAATATTAGGTAATATAATAACGTGATATTAAGTAATTGGAAGTAATACATGTTATTTTATGTAATACGTAATAAGTATTACGCCGTTTTGTGTACAAAGGGCAATGGGTAATTTTAGTAGGAAATTGGCGCCGTTTCTTTTTTGCACGGCAATTAACAAATTATAGTTTGTGTTTTAAGGGTTCAAAATATACACATAGATAAACAGTTTTGTTCAAAACCGTAACACAAAAAAGATATACGACTATAGGTTCAAAATACATATGAGGAGTGATTTTTCAAAAGGTCGTATTTCCATTTGCAACAATTTTTCAAAAAAATGACTATAACATGTATAGGTTAGGGCAATATAGATTATTTAAAAAAAAATTCTGATGAATATTTAATAATACTTCAGACCTGCTGTCATATACCTTTGGGATTTTGTCAAAAAATTACATTCAAGTAAAAATGGAAATAAGGCCTTTTGAAAAATCACTCCTCATATATTGATCAATTTTATTTAAGCTCATATTTCAGTCTGCAATTTTACTTGCAGTAATCTTTCTTGCAGCAATTTTTCATGCATGCAAGTTTTATTGTTGACTGTAATACACTTTGCAATTCCAATTCCAACTTGCATGATACCAACTGAAGAAAATATAAAAATTTATAAAATATTATAAAGTAATTAAAATTAAACTTAGCTTCTGTCACACGACAGTACAATATATATATTATATAATAGAATTTAGAATACAAAGAAACAACATACAAATGACTTCAAAAAACTAACCAGCGTCTCTAGGGAATTTAAAGTGCGGATAGGTATGAAAAAAGTTTTTCCCCCAGACTTGCACGAAACGTCGCTATGCGCATGCCTTTCTGCAAGATTATTGCGTATTGCACGTAGAATTGCAGACTGTAATAATTAATCTGTCAGAATAAAATAAAATAGCGACGTTGATAAGTCACCAGCGCGCTGCAGCATCCGATTCCCAATCGAGAAAAGTATTTATTTTTTTTAATTATAAAATTTGTCGTTTTATTATATTAACTTTATTACTTAAATACTTTTTATATTTTTACACAATATTAACTGTTTTTTTATTTTATAATTTTCTAGCTATGTAGCAAATTGAATACTCTCATGTATTATAATTGAAGGATCTGATAAATAAAGGTGTTAACTAACATTTGCATTAAGTCCAAAAACAAAGTAACACCAACAAAATAAAATACCTTAAAACTTATATACCTTTTTTGTATTGCTATTTTGAGCTAAACTGTTTGCAAGTTTTTGTTTGTTTTATGAGTTATTTAACGCTAACAATAGTTTGTTGATGGCCGCAAGAATTAAAAACGACGCCAAAATTACCCATTGTCATTTAGACTGGTTTTTTCCTCAAAGAAATCAAATTTTTTAAAGCCAAAATTTTTAACATGAAAAATTAAATATTTTTTTACATACAAACTTATTATTTATATGGAATTTTCAAATTCAATATTGGATACGGTTTCAGAAGCTCAAAAATAAATTTGACTATAGATGTATAAGGAAAAAATATATTTACCATGAAAGGACCATGACTTTGACACTCTGGACAGGCACCAGGATGAACCTCAACATCTTGAGATTGTGTAAAAGGTCCCAACACGAATCCACACTTGTTACAATCAAATTTAACAATTGATAATTGTGGCAATACACCTGTAGTAGCTGTCACCACTCCAAGTGTTCTTACTAGCTGACTTATATGAAGTTTTCTGCAAATAAATAAATATTTTTAATATTATTTTAAATATTTTTTGTATTGTTAAACTGTACCTGAACGTTCGCAGTTCCTCAATCAACGGTAAATCAGAAATCCTTACGTGAATTTCGTTTGTAACTCTGTCATAGCTTGGGTACATACTTAAAACTATTTCTTTAGCGACTTCATCGAAAATTTCTAGCATTTGTGTGGGAGCTTCTGGCAAAAAGTACGCCAACACATGCTCTTTGTTGGCCAAGTGTGAAAATTCGACACTGAAACTTGACTAAAAAAGAATTTAATAATATTTGATTTAATTACAACATTAATTACAAACGTATTAACGTAAATTCCATTAGCAACCAGTGTCCAAACATTGTTCAAAGTAATAATAATGAATATTTATTTTTGTACATCTAATTCATTAAATAAAATTTTCTACTAAAAAATAGTACATTATAGACCAGGCGGAGAAAGCACATATTAACGCTTAGCATACATTTCACTGCCGAGACGAGGCAGTAGATTTTGTGCGAGGCAATTAATAAGCTTTCGCTGCCGTGTTTTACATACTATTTTTTTTTCAACCATTTTTAAATTAAATCCTTTTTTAATATTCTGTCACATTATTAAAAAAAAATGTTTTATTTTTGAAAATATTAAAATGGTATTATGCATTTACGTGTATTCCTAATTATCGCTCACAAGAAAGTAATTTCCGGCATTTTAATTTTTCCGTTCTGAAGTTCGGGCTGATTGCATATTTGGCAATGTTTCATTCGCAAGTTGGCTTTCAAATAGCTGGCAAAAATGCTTCAATACATATGCAGGTAGAGATGCGACTTGAAAAAAAACGGTCCGTTTTTTTTGTTTTTTTCAGGTTTTTTTTTCTTTGTTTTTTTTCAAATGGTTTTTCACATTTTAGGTTTTTTTCAAGATAAGTCCCATTTGCCTAATTTTTTATGTTTCCATGGACTAAAATTAGCCACTAAATCACAATTAGTAAATGTAAATACAGTCTCACGCTATGCACGCGCCACCACCACCGAATGGACCAATAAGGGCCGCGCTTGTTTTGATTTGGTTCTAAAAAAAGTAACTACATATAATATTTTTGATTCAGCGCTTGATTTTTCAAAAAGCTACCAAAAGCACTTTTTTCATGTTTTTTCAAATTTATGTAGAGTATGGAATGTTTTTTTCCAAAAAAACAATAGCAAATTCTTGTACAACATTTATTCATTGGTGGTCAGAACATTCCGTGGACCAAAAAAGAAAGCAAAAAAAATGATTTTTTTTATTACGGTATTCGTTAGAATTGAGCGTTGCACGTTTATCATCTAAAAATCTCAAAACTATAAACTTCAAGCTTCAAATTGCTTTTTTAACGGCTCCAATACGACCATTTTTAACAAAGATGCAGCTATCCGAAAAATCGCAAAAACAATTTTTTATCCTTTAATTCTTTGTATTAGTGTAGAAGTTTTACATTGCTATTGGTTTTTAATGTGGAAACTACCAAATAATAAGAAATCAGATTTTTTTAGTCTTGGTCAAAATTTTCAATAATGAAAAATGTAACATTTTATTTATTTTGAAAAAAAACAAAAAAACCGTTTTTTTCTAGTTTTTTTTCACATCTGAAAAAAACCGTTTTTTTACATCTCTGTATGCAGGCAATTATAGTTTCTACAGGTTATTGTAGAGCATGTTGCATCCAGCCTTAAATTAATATTATATTACCTATATTTATAAAACAAAGTTGCTTCTTCAATTATTTACCCTTTAAAAATTGTTAAATTTTAAACTAAATTATCACCAGCGCCCCCTGTACGTTAAAATCTAAACAATTTTTTTTCATGGAGTAATTGTCATTACATTTTGTCAAAATTTCAAATCGATACGTTTTGAAGTAAAAAAATTAAGTACAAAAAATTAAATTTCTTCATTTTTAACATTAAAGAAAAAAATAAAAATAAAAAGAAAGTTGTCAATGGACGAGATTTTTGTTTTGAAATAAAGGCTCATTCAGAACCTTGAAATTAGTGGAAAAAATTAGTGGTTTCAATTATACTTATAATTAACACAAAACGATAATTCACAATGCGCAAAATTAACATCTAAAATTAAGAGAATTTGCTAAAAGATTGTCCATTCTTCTGAACCTGACATAAACAATATTATTTATAATAAAATAATATTTTTTACAACCATTACAATAATATTTTTATAACCTTTCCTTCACTGGAAATTCTTCAAACTTTTTGCTTTTGACATGCGCAAAGCCGCTTTCCAATTATAATTAGTGGTAAAAGTTAGAAGTTTGTAAACTTTTTCCACTAATTGAAAAGTACTACCACTAATTTTTTGGTTGTGTATATTCATAAGACAAACTTTTACGTTAATTGAAACCACTAATTTATACCACTAATTACGAGGTTCTGAATGAGGCTTAAGTACTGCATTTAGATATAGAAATAAGGTAAAAAGTTTCAATCGATTTCTTGAACCCTTGTAAATCAACCGTTCGATACTTTCGCGAAACCGTAGTTAATTAATTACGATTACAATTGTACATGTCCTAGCCCATTTTAGACACCTGTCACGTTATTTTGAACACCAGTCAAAAATATGTCAAAAAATAACATTACAAAAATATTGTGTTAATTAAAAACTGCTCAAATTTGAAGAACATTTTATAAATGAAAATTGCATTTAATTTATTTAAACCTGTAATTTAAAACTTTATAAATTCAAACATAATTGGATAATTGAAAACTGCCCTTAAATTTAATTTATTTAAAACTAGGAAATTGAAAAGTGCACATATTCAAACAAAACTGGATAATTTAATTTATTTATTTCCATCTGCTTAGTAAATGACATTTTATAGGTTAATTTTGTTGTTTTTGTATCCAAGTTAACAATACATTATGGGAACAGACCTGTAATATTTTACGGGCCTGTATAAAAGACCTGTAAAGTTTTACAGGCTTGTAGAAAAGCAGTTTATGAAATGAAATGTCACTTTTGACACATTAATTGAAATGTTAAATTTGAAAATCGTTATCTAAAGGTGAAAATAAAAGTTTTTATGTGTTACACTTTGAAATTAATCTTTGCTAGGCTCACTGGATTATGGGGTTTGCTCCTGCATCACTCACCCCACAAAGTTCCAGCTCACCCATAAAGATTTATTTACAAAACTTGACACATAAATAACTATTAAAACATTACATTTTAATCTTACATGTGTTATAGTCCATTTTAAACACCTTATTTTTAACATTTGTCAAAAATGACAGGTGTCAAGAGTTACAGCTGCCAAAATAACAGGTGTCAAAAATTTCAATGTAAAAGATTTTATGGCACTGGCTAGACACCAAAAACTATTATTTCATCATTATAATAATTATTACATTGCTAATGCATAAACGGATAAAAATGGGTAAAGTTAAAAAAAATTGTACTTACTTGATTGTTTTCACACATTCTGCGAATTTTCTCTTTGTAAACTTGCTGTCCCTTACTGTTAACATAAGTTCTCAAAAAGTTTTTAAACCTATTGGAAATTTCTGTTCTTGGACCCATCATTATCACCCAATCCCTGATAGCATAACCTTTAGTGTCTTCCAAATTTTCAATGGACTCGATCATTTCTTGATCTTCAGTCTCACCAACAGCAGCCTTTTCAGCTGCTCTTCTCTTTTGCCGAGACATTTCTTCATCATCATCACTTTCATCATAAAACAGCTCTCTGTCGTCTCTCCGGTAAATTCCAGCGTCGCGATCTCTTTTTCTGAGTTCCTCTTCAGCTGCCATACGATCCCCAATAGACATGTTTTCATAGTCATCTTCATCTATGTTTCTGTTATCATAGTGATCTAAATGAGGCATAGCACGGTAATCACTGTAAAATAAATTAGTAGTATTGGTTTATTTATATTTTAATGATGTACTTTTCCATGTTATCCCCAAATAATTCCTCCCCATCCTCTTCTTCCATGTCTGGATTAATTTCCCCCAAAAGTGCACCTTCATCTTCAAAAGGCTCAAAATCCTGGGCTGGTGAAGACATATTCGATCTTGGGGTTGGCATAGGAGATTCTTCTTCGGGCTAAATAATAATACAATAAAAATTCACCATTGCTTCATAGAAATTTACATAATTGTATTATAGACATATTTTGTTTGTTTAATAATTCCACTTACCCGACGAGACATTATTGGAATGTATTAAAAAAAAACTAACAAATATAAACACAAACAGTATAAATATACTAAAATTTTAATTTTGTGCTTCAGAACAACAAAACACACCAGAACAAATAAATTGGCGCGAAAATCCAGTATTTATTGGTTACAACCATTTTAGTAATGTTGGTATTGCTTTTCACAGGACCGGACTAAAATTTTATATTTTTTAAATTAGCTTTGCAGATTACTTTTGCTGTAATTAGTTACCACTAAGTGGTAAGTCTTGTTAGAAAAACCGTTGAGTGAAGATTAATCAATGGAAAAACTGTATTGTTTTTACCATTGCTCCATCGTTTTTTCAATGACTATAATTTATGATTTATGTTTTTTTTTTTAAATTTTTATTTAACTTGCCTTTATACAAATATTGTTGTAGGTATTGCTATTTTAATAAAATTTAAACACAACATACAAATGTTAAATAATTTAATGCAAAGTAGATACCAGGAAATACCCTATGGGGTATACTAAATAAATAGCCGAAAAAACAACTCCTGCTTTAGTAAAGGTATTTATTATTACCCTTTATATTAAGGGCATAAATTTTGTAAGTTCAGCCCTGATAATTAAAAACTAACCTCAATTTTTAAAAACAACAAAATACTATTTTTTCTTTAAATGGAAGAGGACGAAATTATTTCTCATATTTTGTTAGATTTTAATGGAAAATTACAGCCAGAAGTTTTTAATAATAAGATATTTATTAAGATAATTAATTTGGATAAAAAAAATCCCTTGGTGCAAATAAATGATCTCACATTTAAAGGTACTACTTTTGTGTAAACTAATCAACTGTGTATAAAGTGATACTTTATTTTAGGAACTTTTAAACCCTGTATGGGGACAAGTCTATTTTTCGATGAAGTTGAAGACCCCAAAACCTCTAATGATATTTCCATCAAACCATCTCCAATCCACTTAAACCACATTGTTTCTCAAGACAGAATATTATCCCTTAAACAGGTAAAATTAAAAAAGAAAATTGAAGATATTAATGAAGATCAAGCAATTAAATTAAATTTAAAATGGAACTACAAAACCCTTCTGGAAAAATTTGAAAATGGGACTTTGGATTTTAGTTTAATTGATGCAAGAAATAACTTTACAGAAGATAAAACTATAAATTCACATGTATTGGAAATAACACAACCAGAAAGTTCAGGAGAACAGGATAGCAATTTAGATCACCCAAATGAAGAATGTTTAAGTAATGTATCTAGTAATCTAATATTAAACAATAAATATCAAAAGTTAAAAAAGTTAGCTAGACGACCTGTAAAAAGATTCATATTGCCTGAATTAGTCACTAAATGTGAACAAAAATATAAGGAATCCTATGAATTGCACAATATAAAGTGTCAGGTAACTATACTAGTACTAACTAAACAGGAAAACAATATTATAACTTTTTTAATTTTAGATTCAACAGCCAGCAAATGCTTTCTTTGAAAATCCTCTCCCAATAAATGAAGATACTCTATATAATGCAGTGGATATTGAAAGGTGTATTTTATATGGAATTATTTTACCTTCAGAAAACAATCCTCGAATATTAACTAATAGAGAAAAAAATGCCCTGCTCACTTTGGACAACTTTGATAATCTTTCACTGCCTGCAAGATATTATGTACTTCAATTGCAACTTCAAAATTTGGAAGAATATGCTAAAAATGCTCCCAAAGAAAAGTTAAATAAATGTGATAAATTTGGTAGGACTCCATTAGAGACTTTAAAAGTTTATAAAGAATTAGTTAGTTGTCTTAAGATGCTTGTTGAATAATAATATGTAAGTAAGTTTACACTAGTATGGGTTTTAAAATTTGTTTTATTAAGAAGTTTTATTTTGTAATAAATACCTACCAGCTGTTTAATTTTAATTATATCTACTTATGTATGCTACTGGGTACCCTACCCATAATTATTTTTTTGGAACAGGTATTACATATTTTTATTTTTTCTGATATTTCTGATACTCAAAATAGCGCTGTTTAGGATGGAAATAAATAAATAAATAAAAAATATATAAAAAAGTATAATATATGGTTATATGGATACTTTATACATATTAATTTTATATAAAATAAATATACTTATAGGTATATACAATTTTAAACTTACAGTAATGATTATAAAAATATATCATTTAAATTTGATATCCACTTATACATATATAAAATATTGAGTAGGTATTTGAGTCGTCTAGTTTCAAAAGTGGCCATCTCCACATTTAAAAAAAATGAGTTATTTACACCAATAAAATCAAAATATTACATATAGTATATAGTAGTATATTAGTGCAAAATTATATCCCAACAAAAACAGCTATTTCTATGGAAAATTATTATTTATTTTTAAGTTTTATGTTAGTTTTAATACCGGCCATCTCCATTGATGTTTTATAAGTACAAAAATGTACTTAAAATGCCCATCTCCCTATGAAATATATGGTTTTTTAATTAAAACTTAAATCTGGTTAATTATTTTGTAGAAATCAATATATATATTTATTTTTTACTCATTACTGTTTAGAAAAGGAGATGACCACTTTAGAGAAATTAGACGACTCATTTCTTTCATGAATCTTTTTCTTAAATTATATTTTGTAATCATCTAAAAAACACAAAATTTTTAAATAATGTACAAGTTTGGGATTACAAGATAGGTTGCCAACATTTTAAATTTATGTATAGAATAATAAACTTTTAAAACGTATGTTTTAAAACTTGGTTTTAAATTTGTTATTCAATATAAAAACGATTTTCTGAAATAGTTTTGTTTTACAATTTTTAATAATTAACAAAAATCTTAATACATATTAAAAAATTTTACATTTTTTTATATTTCTTGTTTGAATAAAAATTGCTTTTAAGGCTGTTTACCAGTTATTTTGTATGTGCACTCTTTATTGCAATGTAGGTAAATATTAGCAAAATTATAATGTAATCTGGTCAAAATAATGTGTTTTTCAGATTAGTCAATCAAACCTGGATTTAATAAATAATACAATGGCATCTGTACACTATGGAAAGTCTTTGTGACATAAACATACGTGTAGGATACAGGTCAAAATTAAGAACACTTATGTAAATTGTAAAATAATCTACATTGTCTAAAATAATACCGTAGTTTTGCGTTACAAAGACTTTATAACTGACTTATTTGCCGAACTCGAAGTTGGTGTAGGTGTTCTCATGTTGCGGGAACTCCGCCCACTTGCTCAAATCGATGCCAGGAATGACACCGCTACGGCATGGCACTCTGGGATTAATTTCGTGATCAGGGAGTACCATCGGGTACAACTGAACGGTATCGATTAGATCTGTGTTGTCGCAGATGATTCTGGCCATGCGCGCTTTACGGATTTCTTGAAGCTGTTCGGGCGTGAAGCTGGACGGTTGGTTGGGTAATTCGTACCAGAAACGGTCACCTCTTCTGGAGTAGCTGAATTGAGTGGCAATGATGCAAGCGAAAGTGGGTCCTAACATGCTTCCAGGCAGAGGGCGTTCTGAGACTCCGCCAGACCATAAATCTACCTCACCTGGGTGTCTGTAATTAGTAATTTTGATGTTAGATTGAAAACAGTTAACAGTTACATTCAAATTGTAAATATTGCACAATATTATAAATTACATTAAAAGTAAATAATTTAAAACTGTATTTACTTTACAGAAATATTTACTTAAACCATTAATTGAAATCACAAGTAAAAGTATTAAAATATTTGGTCCCAATTAAAACCCTATAATTGGATGCCATAAATGCTGTTAAAATAATTAATTATGTAAAATGTGATAGTAAGATACATTTAATAAATAAAAACTAAAATTACTTAAATAATGCAAATTTTACAAAACAAGACACAGAAGAAATACACAAACCAAATAAATAGAGTTATAAAAATAAATAAATTTAGTTTTTACAAGAAAGCAGTTAAATATTATAAAAACAATATTTTAATAATCATTACTTACTCAAAAATGGTGGAATACTTCCTAACAGTCTCGTTTGGCATAGAACCGAACAGTCCTTCGAAAGTGTCGGCGCCAGGAAGTCCGCAGAATTTCCTGTATTCCATGTAACCAGGAATACCAAATTCTCTGCCTCTCTGCATGTTAAAACTGACTAAGTCCATACCGAAGCGAGCGCCAACTTTCTTGAACAAATGGTTGGTTACTTCCTGAGTGATGGAATCGTCCATAGCTTGGGCTACTTGGTTCATGAGACCCATGACGTATTCGTCCAATATACCGGCTCTGTACAAGTCGAAGGGTCTTCTGATGAGGTCGGAAAGACGTTTTGAAGCTGCAGAAAATAATTAATTGTAATTGTAATACAAAGTTTGTTAATGTTGATGTTTTGAGTTTACCAATAAATTTGTGGGCTTTACTCCATCTTTCTACAGCTGTTGGAAGCAAGGAGTGTCCAAATCTGTAGGCGGCAGCAGAAAAAGCGTCTATAACGTTAGGGTTTACAGTTGTATCATAACCGTCCCAGTAGCCCTAAAAAGTTAATATGTAACAATTATACTGAAAACAATATTTTTATGTGTAAATAATAATGGCAAATAAATAATTACTAAGACATCACGGTGTCCCTAAATAACTTTTAGTTGAAAGGTTCAGACGTATCCGATTTTTTTTTCATATTTTGATTAAAAATCACTTACAAGACAATTTTTTTTCAGGATAAACTCAATTCGCTTGGCACTTTTTTAGAAAAATCAATTTTTATAAAAACATTAATGATTTTTAATCAATTTTTTGATTTTTAATTAGTGAACTCCAAATAATGACCTACAGCTTTTAATGCATTTGTTACATAAAATGTGCAATTCATTAGACTAGTGAACATATGTCACTTGTCACATGTCCCATGTCGAAATCGTGATTGGAAATACCGTTGCGTTATTTTACAGGGTTTTTTTCAATTTGTCGCGGATTTATTTATAAATTAGATATAAATAATTATATTTGCATTGATTATAGTATATAGTGTAATGAAGCTAATTAAAAACCATGCACTCACTCGAATAATCGCGAGAGAATTTGTTTGTTTTGTCTTAAAAAAAAGAAAAAATGTCTAAAATATGTGGAAAGATTCTGGAAAAAGTTTAAAGCATATATGCTATAGTAGTATATGATGTAGAAGATGAACGATTACCAAAAGTTGTATGCAAAGGTTGTGAAATTTTATTATATAAAGCAGCTAAACAAAAAATTTATAGAAACACGTTAAATTTGCCTGATTTTTCTAATTGGAAATAATTGGGTATAATTTTATAAAAAGTGCTAAAAATAAACCCATTAAAAAAGAAAAAAGCGTGTTTCTATAAATTTCTTGTTTAGCTGCTTTATATAATAAAATTTCACAACCTTTGCATACAACTTTTGGTAATCGTTCATCTTTTATATCAAATACTAATATGCTTTGAATTTTTTCCAGAATCTTTCCACATATTTTAGACATTTTTTCTTTTGTTTTTAAGACAAAACAAACAAATTCTCTCGCGATTATCCGAGTGAGTCCATGCATGGTTTTTTATTAGCTTCATTGCACTATATACTATAATCAATGCAAATATAATTATTTATATATAATTTATAAATAAATCTGCGACAAATTGAAAAAAAACGGTAAAATAACGCAACGGTATTTTCAATCACGATTTCGACATGTGACGACATATGTCAATAGTTCACTATAGTCTAATGAATTGCACATTTCTGTGGGTAAAAGGCATAAGGGGATAAGTCAAAAAATGCAATATTTCATTAGAGCATTAAACGTATTCGCATTAATTCAGGAAACATATTTATGGTGAGCGGGTATACCCTTTTGTTAGCCCATGTCATATGCTAACAAAAGCGTATACCCGCTAAATATAAATATATTTCCTGAATTAATGCGAACACGTTAAAGGCTCTATTAAAAAATTGCTTTTTTTGACTTATCCCCTTATGCCTTTTACCCACAGATTTTATTTAACAAATACATTAAAAGCTGTTGGTCATTATTTGAAGTTCACTAATTAAAAATCTCAAAAAATTGATTAAAAATCATTAATGTTTTTAAAAAAATTGGTTTTTCTAAAAAAGTGCCAAGCGAATTGAGTTTATCCTGAAAAAAATTGTCTTGTAAGTGATTTTTTATCAAAATATGAAAAAAAATCGGATACGTCTGAACCTTTTAATTAAAATTTTAATTAAGTTATTCAGGGACACCGTGACATTTTTATTATAAATATTTTGATTAAAAAATATTTTCCAATTAACAATGATGTAAAATGTTGTCAAAATTGGGGTGCAATCTTGTAAAAACGGTATACTTTTATATAAATTATATCGAAGTAGAACCATTTTGAAATGGCTTGATTTTACAAATTCCAAAGTTTAGTTATAGTAAATCTTAAGAAAAAACCGTTAACAGTTTAAAATAAATGTCCTTCAGCCATATGACTGTAATTATATAATTAAAGGAAAACAAACAAATAGCCCTACCCATGTGCGATTCGAACCCCCCTCTCGGCTTGTAGTTCGCATCAAAATATAATTTATAAATTTAGTAAATGATAATAAAACTTTTAATTAAAAATTAATTTAAAAGAAGCATTGTATATTATATAATATATATTATATAATATTCTATAATAGAGCAATGTGGTGATGTGGTTGGCTGTAAAAAGGCGCGTCGATCTGTAGTCCCGCCTCTAGAGCCTCCCTGCGAAAGATCTGCTTGGTACGAGCAGAAACATTGCAGCATCCTTACGATCTCTTGTCCCTACTTACAAAGCACTTAATCTCTAAGATCACCCAACGCTGATGGCCGAGGCCCAGCCGGTGGTCGAGGAATCGTCTTGCCCACGTAGCCATGTGGTGGGCTCTGAGGGTTAAGCTACCGCGGTGTCAGTGATGCATCGGGGGGTCGCGAAATATCGGCATTGTGACATTGTCTGAGTGAGGTTATATGGTTATAAGTTTTATGATCTGTGGTTATATGACATGTCAAGGGGTATGGCGTAGTGTATTAATGTACTGAGCACTACACCACTAAATGCGGATAAATATATACTTACTTCTTTCTGGAGGAGCAGGCCAAATTTGGCCATAACATCCTTTCCTAGCAAAATAGGCAAGAACTCGTTGTAAGTAATATGCTGAGTAATAGCAATATTAATCCTTCTAGCTTCCTGGAAAAGAGTCTCGTCATCCCAATGAGGGTTAACCTGAGCCAATCCCTTGGCAACTCTATTGTGTTCACGGGCCATCAAAGTATGCATAACAGTCAAGATTAATTGTTCGTTTACTCTAATTTCACCGGCTTCGAAACAGTACATGCTTGCGTTTGGTCTGGTACAACCTTCATCTGGAATGTCGAGTTTCAAAGGCAATAAGTCCTTTAGGCCGTATTGGTCAAAAGCTGGGTTCATTCTTAGGAGACCGCCATGGCCTTCACGAAGTTTTCTGTAATAATATAAAAAGTTATACTTAAACATTTAACGTAAAACACAAGTGAAATATTTACCTGGCAAAATGTTCTGTAACACCATAAACGGTATTGGTATCGATAACTCCGGTAAGGGTGTTGTATGGTACTTTGGAGCCAAGTCTGCAGCCTGGTCTTACACCTGGGAAAGATCTGACAAAGTTCATGCACTTCTTCTTAAAAAGCCTGTAAAAATAATCGTCTTCGGGTATGTAAATTTCGTTACAATAAGGATGTTTAAGATGAGGTGGACGATCGCAACATTCTTCGGGGTCGTTTCTGTTAAAGGGATCTAAAAAGAATAAAAAAATAGTTACTTCATAAAATAAATTTGTAGCCTCACATGAAATACGCTTATTTACGCAATGTAACTAAGTAATAATAACACTGTAGGGAGGTGAAAATATCACAGCTAAACGCTCGGACACGTAAATTTAATTTTTTGTCGTAGATTACAAATCCGTGCTTGGTTTAGCTGTATCATGATACAGGGTGTTTGCAATATCTTTGAATTTTGACCTGCAGTTGAAAATTCAAAGATATTGCAAACACCCTGTATAAATTTAAACACCCTGTATAATTTTTTTTAAATTAAATTTGGCGGGACATCAGTTCCAAATTAAAAAAATAACAAAATCTTGCAAAATTTGAAGTTAATTGATCAAAAGATACACGTGTCCCTAAGGGTTTTTCTTAGTTAATTTAGGAAATTTGAAATGTTTTTTTGCTGATTTTTTTTTATTGAGTATAATTGAGGATATTATATTAAATTAAATAAAAAGCATAAAACTGTTGGCACAAGAGGTGAATTATATTATTTTACAAATTATAATATACCATAATATACTGCAGTAAACAGTGTGTCCCCGGATCGGATTTCCAATAGGAAAAACTTTACGACCAAAAACTATGTTTACGTGTCCGAGCGTTTAGCTGTGATATTTCAAAAGTTAAAAATTTACCTACAGTCTAATAAAAACTGGCAACTTAATCAAGAAGCAACTATCAAAAAATAATAAAGAAGTTAGTCTTAAAAGAACAACACATTTTCTTTACTTATATAATTTTCCTTAGTTTAATTAATGCGACGCGACGTATACGTAGACAATCAGGCAATTTTGGACGCTGAAGGTGGTCCAAAACTCATCATTATGCCTTCTTAAATTAAATCTTCTTGTTTAGATAACTTATTCCTAAGACCCGAATATCGGTATAAGAACCTCTAATTCCAATATATATTGGAATAATTTATTTGGAATTAGAGGTTCCTATACCGATATTTGGGTCTTGGGTATTTTAATAAGTTTAATAAATAGAAGTGTGAGCTTGATTCATGTGCGATATCGCACATAAACCAAGCTCACAATTCTATTTCAGAGTTTTTTTTGTTTTTTCTCCTCTAACTATTTCCATACTTGAACCCTTGTTGTAGTTTTAAGGTCACCACTATAGTGCTGAGTATACTCATGCTACTTGAAAAATCTTTATTTTATTAAGAGCTTCTTTTGCAGCAACATCAAACAAATCTTAGAGATCACTTCTGAACATATTCTCACGCACACTATCTTGTTTATAGTTTTGTAAAGAGACCCAGACAAGCTGTGAAATAGTATTCAGTGTACACGTATCAGAATGTCGACGAGATCTGCTAGAACTAACTATACATATAGTACTATACACGACTACTTAGTAAGTAACATGAACACAAATGAACATAAACATAGACCACAGATTAAATATACTTTTCACTTTTTATGTAACATACGGTTTAGTATTTTCCCTGAGAATGAAAATAAATAATCCTAATATTTTTATGTAAACAAATTTCTCGCTTTGAATTTTATGAGATTTTTTATAATTTTCACAATTTTCACATCAACTATGCAAAAGATATCCTCGAAATTCACAATTTTGTAGCATAAATACTACACCAAAAAGACGTTACTTGGTCCATATGAAATTCGAAAGAAAAAAACAAGAAAAAACTGAAACAAGTAACATTATAATGTTACTTGTTATAATGGTTTGTGAAATACTTGCCTTCTGGGCGACCATTAAAAGGCAACCTAGGGTAAAAAAAGTTGAATGTTGTATAGCTAGACATTAGGTAGACATTATTTCCTCTTGCTAAGAGTATTTTTGATTTGATGTAGCTCTAGTAAAAACACACTGCATCAAGAAAAAACTGAAGACTCTTTACTGAGATAAACTTACCAAGAGGTGTTCCAGTAAGAGTGTAATCGTGATCCATGAATTGTCCCCAAGCAATGATCATAATGGTTCCTGCGTGATCATGGAAACCTTCATCAGAATGCATTGTCCTGGATACGATACGAGAAGAAGGCAAATCTTGTCCAGTTAAACCAATACGAGGAGCGGACATACCGTCAGCGTAGAGAGGTCCCAATAACCTAAAATAAAAATACATTTACCAAATAACAGGTTTGTGTATTCTTCGTTTGTAACATCCTTTTGTCTAACCCAGGGATCTAGGTTTTTATTTATAAGTCTTACCTGGTAAATGGTGTGTTAGTGGCTCCCCAGGTAGGGTGTTCCAAGTTGGTGCAAAGACCATCGTATCTCCTGTATTTTCCGGCCCTGCATTCCACGTTCGACAAATATGGGGGACACACGTCACGAATCATAGTTTTACTTGTATCGATCAAAGGTAAACCTTTTTCAATATCTTCGTAACTTAATCCGTAGGTTCTCGCCAAGTTGGTCGAAATGTCCAAAAGTAATTCGCCTACAGTGGCTACGTCTTCTGGTTTCCAATCACCGTGAGGTTGTGCAATGCCTAAAAATATAGGTATTCTTGTAAAAAACATGGTATTTACCATCTTTGATTTATTTGAAGACAAATTGACCTTCAAGAAGTTCTTGGATTTTTTTATAGGTATATGTCGAGGTATATATACTTAAAAATTGTTCAAAAAGGAATAAATTTAACGTGATATTCGTAAATCTGCTTGTGTTCCAAAACTTCATCCAAAATTTTTTCATGTATTTTGTTCAAGTTCCTTTAAAAGAAATTGTCAATAAAAATGTTAAAGACTTTAATTAAAATACTTTCTAAATACGTTTTTTTTAGATTTATGTTCGTGTTGGGAAACAGTTTTATTTTAACAACTGAGACACTTCCTTATTATATTAGTTAATTTTAATACCATATTAAATAATCTTGCTTTAAGATGGTAAGGAAATGTATAACATTTTCAAGGAAAATTATAATGTTACATGACCGATTTTGTTTTTACAATTTATGAAAGTAGCGTTATTTTTTTAAAGAAAAGACAGAATAAGTTTTACTTTAACAATTAAGACACTTTCTTATTATAATATATACTAAATTTTTTAACTTACGTATTCTTTTGCGGGCATCCAAGTAAGCTGCGTTAACAGCATCATAAGTGATGCAAGTGTGTGGTCCATTGTATTCCCTAAAAGATAAAGCAAAAGTAAATAAAACAAAATAAAAAAAGTTGTTTTTGTAAAAGGTATACATTTTAAATCGTAAATAATAACCTTTATTGTGAAAAATGTATGGGTAATTTAAATAAATAAAATAATTCATTATAAATCGCGTAGGTAGAATTCTGGGGTTGTCAAATATATGAGTAAAATAAAACCATAAAGATCATAAACTTGTTGATCTTAAAACACAGCAGTCCCATTACGGGGAAACCCCCCAAAACCCTCACCTGCCTGCGCTCCTAGGACAGCTGTTCATTATATATAATCTACGATCGCTATTCACTTAATAATTTTGATCTACTCCTACATTGACGAGCTGTGACTTTATAGCGTTGTAGTTACGAACTGAAGTTAGCAATAGTGGCTTTTGGGCATTTTAGTCACGAGCTGAAGTTAGATTTATTATTAACTAGAGAAAAGTGAGGTTAATTCCGTTGACATTTCACAGATGTCAAATGTTTAACAAATAAAATTGGCTTTAAATTCTTCTTTGTGTTCGTCGTAGATAAAGTATAGTATGCTAATCGTTTTATAAACGTATCTAGACACTCATTTGTATTAAACACTCGCTTGCAAGCTTCGCTTGTGCCTAATAGAACTCGTACACCCGCAAGAAGTAAGGGTTTGTTGTAAAGCATTTTTTTAAATTAAACAAATTTACAATAAAATATGTAACAAAGTGATTTTTATAGAAAATTGACTGTTTGTTTAAGAAAACCGAAAGTAAACATTTAAATCAGAATTTTAGTAACTTCAAAGATTTTTTTTTAATTATTTTAATTTTAAAATATAGCTTAATTATTAAGCTATATTTTAAAATTAAGCCTTAATATATATGGATAATACAGTGAGGTGGGAGAGACCCAGCGAACCCTATCTATAAGCAGTGGTTTTTTAGTCTTTCCCACCTTTAATGTTAAGATTCCCGTTCCCGTTACTGGGCTATTGTGTAGCGGACTTAACAATACCTACAGCGCTCAACATCAAAATTGCCAAAACAATCGTTTTAAATTTTAAAAACTTATGTAGGTATAAATGAAAAATATTGGTGGAGTGAAGTTTTTTTATTTATTAATTGATTTTTCCTGTATTATTAATTGTTGACTAAAGGCGTAAAATGAATAAATATCAAAAAAATATTCCAATTTTTTAATATCTTGAGGTGGCGCATCAATCCCGAAGTTTTGAAAATTCTAGAAAAATAGGACTTCAAAGTAATAAAAATAGCATTATTAATAAAAAAGTTTATTTTAGTAAAGTTAAATCATAAGCTTTAAGTAACTTCAGGAGTGTTTATTGGTAGAAATGAGATTTTCTTTTTCGCGAAAATACTGACATTTGGTATAAATATTTGGTAATTCTTTTCTGGCTTTAATTCTTGTTCTGATGAAACCATCTCTTACTTCCGATCCACAAACCGAGACTGAAGATTCAGTATACTATAACCAGTTTTACACAGCGTTCCACTGCTTGGGTGTGACACGGAAATTTTTGGAAGTATAGGAAATGGTCACCCGAAGAAATCATATCAGTAATTTATGTCATCGTATTTCATAGTCATAGGTTGTTCAGTTACCTTTTCTGTCTCCCAATGAATTAACTTGTAAAAATGTAATGCTTCAGTGTTTAGTTGTGGAAGCTTTAATTTCCGTAATCTTGAACATTTTGATTCTTTTCGCCTTTAATATTTTCCGCAATGCTAGTTCTCTGATCGATAGATATCTTGTAGGTAACATAGCAAGTAATGGGTTTTCGGGATGTATATTTCGCTGAATCCCAAATGTTTGGAGTAATACTAACTGCCTGGTCTAGGGGGGTGCCGCGTCGTACTTAGATTTAAGTCGGCGTAATTGTCCCCCAAACACCAAACTGTCTATCCCTCCCGTTCTACCTCCTTCATGACCCTACTGGGCGTATAGTTTCGGCTCGGCGAACCCGGGAATGGCTACTAAAACTATTGGCATTTCGCTCTCGAGCCCTAATTAGGGGACAGTACGGGACGCAATGGACATTCGCAACCAGCAATCATGGGTGAAGCCGCGCCGTTGCTGTTGGCGAAAGAAAATCGGCGCAAGGAAGAAGGGGGCCTATGCGGGGCCCGGGAGCGATGAGGCAATGGGGCCGGTTATACGTCTCTCATACTCATACTCATACTCAGAATGATATAAGGAACATTATAATTGTAACTCAAAAATTATAAAAGCAATTTATATATTTTTTCTACGACCACTATGTAAAAGTCACATTTCGTATTGGCACCGTTGCAACGCGTTGCTTAGAAAATGAATATTTTCATTGGCAAGGCAAAACACGATGTAAAGTGACATTTCTGTGTGAAAAGTGACAGCTCTGTGTGAAAAGAAATTGACAGCATCGTTTGACATTCGTTTCAAAATTTGTATATGTATGTCTAAATACCATTGAGAACACAATTAATTGTGTTTGTATAATAAATTCTAATTTATAGTGCCTTTATTTAAATTTATAAGGTAAGTTTATAGATTTTAAGTAACCTATACCTTAAAAAGTAAAAGAATAAGATGAGCTGACAAACACGGTTTTAGGTTATTTTGTTTTGTATTTGAAAATAATAAAAAATAATTATTTTATAACCGAAAACAACAAATCCTTTAACAATGTAAGTAAACAAACCCACAATGATATTTTTTATTATATTTTTTCAAATTATTTGGTAAGCTGCTAAGGGATGAATCCGTTATTGTAGATATGATATCATAATGATTATATAATTTAAATTAAAACTATACTTACAAACTGCTTCCTTTCAATAAATTCAAGGAATAATCGAATTGGCTACTTTTGGCAGGTCCGTTTAGTAATAAGGCACACTCTCCGTCTCCATTTCCATTAAATTCTACTGGTTGGTATTGTATACAGCTGATTAATTTGACTATATTTATTATTACCAACCACCCTATCAGGGGCCGAAATACCCTGTAAACAAAAAAACATAAATTCTGAGGAAAATTTCAAAAATGGCGAATGCGCCGAGATTAATCTATTAAATCTATACGCTATAATAGATTCTCGTCATTTGATGGTAAAAGTGAAAGAAGTACCTCAGTTTTGATTGATTGCTTTAAAACATATTAAATAGTTTATAATAATAATAATAATAACGTTTATTGTTCAACAGATATAACATCCAATTACAGAACAATTACATAAAAAAAAGAATAATAATAAAAATTCCTAATATCTATAAAATAATATTATACAAAAAAATATAATAAAATCACGTAAAAAAATGTGTACTTAAGTGATTCATTATGACTCCAATACTTTGAAAGTTTATATCACAATTATTGCAATATTTATTAAAATTATTGCACATAAAATAAATCGGTGACTTAAGCATAACATTTGATTTAGCGTTTGGGCAATAAAATGTGAGGTTGGTTCGAGTGTTACGTGGTGTTAAAAAATTTATTTGATTTAATAATAAAGGGGCGTCTATTTTGTTATGTACCAAATTATACAAAAATTTAACACTTAATATAGTTCTTCTCAGTTGCAGGGAACTGAACCCAAATTCGTTCAAAAGAGCCAAGTGATCATAACCTTGAGATGGATACACATGGTTTTGTTTAAAAGACAAGAATTTTAAAAACTTACGTTGTATTTTCTCCAAACTATTTATATGAGTAGCGTATATAGGACTCCAAATTAGAAAACCGTACTCCAGCTTGGATCGTACAAATGAATAAAATAAAGTTTTAAACGCCATTTCACATTTAAAGTTTTTGGTGTTTCTAATTATGAAGCCTAGGGTTCTGTTAGCAGATGATGTTATGCTATTAATGTGGTCGAGAAAGTTAAATTCGTTGTCAAATAAGACTCCCAGGTCTTTAATGGCAGTTTCACGGGAAAGCAAATTTTGGTTTAAGGTGTAATCAAAGTTCGTTTTACTCTTTTTTCTAGTGTATGTAATTACTTTACACTTATTTGCATTGAGACCCAGCTGATTTTTTTTACACCAGTCTTCAATCTTGCATAATTCTTTTTGAAGAATCTTACAGTCATCAGCACTGCGTATTTCTTGAAAGATTTTGAAGTCATCAGCAAATAAAAGCTTTTCACAAACAATGTCATCAGCTATATCATTAATAAAGATTGTGAAAAGAAGAGGACCTAGATTGGACCCTTGTGGTACACCCGAGGTTGATAAAAACTTGAGGTATCCAACAGGTATTAATGAAAATTCCTTAATATTTTATTAGTCAATAAAAGTAAATGGTAGGTAATCACTATAAATTATATTTTATAGTGATAAAAATTTATAATTTGTTGTTAAATTTTGAATGATTTAGAAAGTAAGCTAATTCGCTTGGCATATGTCTTCGAAACTTTTTAATAACATAATGCCACTCATGTACGTCCAATTTACATAATTTAAGAATCTCTTAATTATATTTAAAAAATAAAAGTAAGTTGGGTTTTTTATTCTCTGGTAATGTGTTAAATACTTACAAGGAAATTACGAAATTAAACATAGGTACAAATAATGAAAACAGTATGTGTCATGTAATGTATACATAATTTTAATTCACAAAAGAATAACAATTAATTCTTGTGCAATAGTTTAACTTTGCGACTTTTCGTTTTTATTGGAATAAATGAGTCATGCTCATGAGTTAGTTTTTCTTTTTACACATTTATTGATTTGTTTAAAATAATAATCAGATTATATATAGAGACCAGGGTTTTGTGCTATCAAAAAATAATAAGAAGCTCTACAAATAATTAAAACATATAATTTTCTGGTAAAAGAGGTTGGGTTAAATCTAGCAATGCGAAATTTTAACGCGCGATATTCGATATTTTTATTTATTTATAATCCGGTCTCTATACTCTAGTATACTGCATAGAGTAGTAAGTATAATAATTTAATGTTCTGCCTATAGAATCTATAGTATAGATACCATACGTATTGTGAATTTAAAATTATACAGGTATTTAAATTTAACAGAATTTAGTAATTGTCTGAAAAAAGTGACGATCTGACGCAATTTAAAATAATTATACATTCGAAGAAAGCTATATTTTCTGCACCTTTTAATTTATAATCATAATATTTTCACCCATAATATAACAAGTGGTATGATTATCATCGATGATATTTTCGAATTGAAACCGAGCTGCAGATTTCACGAGTCCGCAGGACGAGTGAAATGTGCTGCTTCGGTTTCAATGAGTAAATATCATCGATAATTAATCATACCACGAGTTATATTTAGTGAGAAAATATAATGAATTTTAGGATTTAACGAATTGTCATTGACATTTGAAATTAAAATGTGCTTTAAAATATAAAAAGACTTTAATAAACCTTATTTATTCAAACTTACCTTAATTTTATTATCGTTTACACAAACCCATCGATCTTTTAGGGTTTATAATTCATTATTTTAATCATTTAACAAACACAGTATTTAAATGTCAACAAATGTCAAATCAAGAAAAGTGTCAAAATCCTTAGCAACGTGTAAACAAGGTGATAAAAAATATTGTCGCTGTGATAAAATGCGTAACCATGGAATTCTGGCATTTTATTGGTTCTAATTATAATGAATTGTATTGTCAATATACTAATATATAATTTCATATATATTGTATGTGCAACTTTTTATTTTTAATTTGACAAATTTTATGAAAGGCTTGTAAAATGTAAAGGATTATAAGTGCATGGGGAAAATTTAGAAGCTACTATTAAAAATTTGCCTATAAAATTTTCTATATACATAAATCTAATATGACTTCGGTTTTAAGATAACGGTAACCAATTTTGCATTCTGTATTGTCGAATGTCAAATTTGTATGTGTAAATCAAAATGTATCCTTTGAAATTGGACCGTTTAACCCGATATAGTAGCAGTTTTTTACAGTAAAGTAAAGAAAATGTTTTATTGGCACCCAAAAATAAGTTAAATCTAGTTTACTGCCGGCGAATTTAAAATTTTTTAAATATTGGGTTAAGAAACTATTTAATACTTTTATATTTGTGTATTAAGATAATATAATAATTTTCACATTTAGTATTATTTCACAAGAAGGGGACTTTATTTTAACGATTGTATGTATAACATTTGACAACTGCCAACTAACATAAAACTAACTTCAGCCCGTGACTAAAAGGCCATTAAACCACAACTTATACTAAAGCGCCATAATTTAAAGGCATAATTTAATGCCATATCTTGTCAATGTGTATTTAAAATAACACTTAGTGTCATGAAAACATGTACGATAATGGGCGTTTTAAACGTGGGAGTAGGCCAATGTCTCAATAATACCTATTTTATAAATAAATAGTACTATGCTCCACACATACAAGTCCCACCACGTGACATTGACAATTAATTAATCGTCTTTTTTTCTAAAAAATAATACAATATATGGGTGAATATCCAAAACGGGGATAAATTGGGGTGGTAAAAAAATAAAAAGCAAAGATTAATAAAACACTAGCAAAATAATACCTTAATGTGTATTTCTTAATAACATAAAGTAATTTCAAGGCGGCTATAAATTAAACTTAATATATACATATAGTTATAATAATAATACTATTAGATAATTTTTTTAAAGAAAAATTAAATTTATTATAATTTAACTATATATTATTAATTATCGTTAATAATGCCTTAACTTATATGAGCTAAGAGTTTAGGGCAATAATAAGAAAGTAAACAACTCCATGGACATACCTTTTAAGTCCATGGAGTTGATGTCCATGGAGTTGATGTTTTTATAGTTAAAGTCACAAACTTTAGAAAATGGTACATAATGTATTTTTAGTTAACTGTAATTTAAGCAAAGCATATTTGGTTATTTCACCTGGAGAAAGTTTAAATTTCAATTGTATTTAAATCCCTTTGTTATTAAAGACATGGAGTTGATCTTACCCATTTTTTCGCAAATAATTGTTCTTTATAAATTTTTATTAAATATTACACCCCCTTTGCCTTGCTTACACAAATCAACACTAAATCACTCAAACGACGAAGTCTTCAAACATTACTAAAATACGTTTTATACAGGGGATTTATCATATATTAAAAGACTGCAAAGAACTCAGCTGTAAAATAGTGTCTCATGCTTTATTCGACATTTTGGGTTAAAATATCAATAAGTTTACTTTTGGTTGTATTTTTTTATACATTCCAAGTTAGAGGAAATGCAATATGAAAGAATCATTTCACAATTGCATCTAGTCTAATAGTATATGGATGATTTGTTGTCCCTACGCTAGGTGGTGACAGTCCATGGAGTTGACTTTAAAGCGTTTAAGCAAATTCAAATTATTAAAATAAATAATGTTTTATTTTTTTGGTTAAGTACGTTCTACTGCTAGACATAAACTGTCTATTGTAGTGTTATTTAAATGCTAACTACTTTCATTAGTATATTTTATTTAAGAGTTTCAGCATATTTGCTCCGTTCTGGAGAATCACCCATATGCCAAATCCACGCCAAATCGGATGGTTAAAAAATATTTTTTTATTTCTCCAATTTTTTTAATATTTTTTAGTACTTCTTGAAAGAGCTTTCTCAGTTAATTTTGAGATTTTTTTGATCACGGGTTCAAAAGATATAAAATTTTTAAAAAAACTGCTTAATAATTTTTAGAGAATTTTTTTTTTAATTTTGATAAATCGAAAAAAAATAGTAATTATGGAAAGCCCACTATCGGACCAGGCTGAATAGTTGTTGAATAGATAGAAGTTACAAATAAAAAATTTTCGCGTATCGAAGAAGACACACATTTTTAAAAACACGATTTAAACTTTAAACCTCAAAAAACTTGACTTAAAACGCTTCAAATATTTTCAATATATTTTTTTTCGAAAAGTACATTTAAAAACGAATATAGTGAACATTTTGATTTGTCCCATTTTTAAGAAGTTATGAGCGAAAAACAAAAAAAAACAGTTTTTTGAAA